TTCACTGAGAAATACTTGATGATTTCAGAACATGTGGTAAATTATAGTCAGTATATTTTATCAATATTATTATTAAAGACCATAGAATATCATTCAAATGAATTGAACACGTCAAATGTTGTTCGTTGTCTGGTCTTCACATTTCATTTTTATTCCTCATAAATGTTAAAATTTAAAATGCATCAATACTTGTCACTTTGATTAACATTATCCCTTCATTTTATCTTTAATTTCAACGAATTTAAGCACTGTTGAACTTCTATATCTGAAATAACATCTTTAAGGCACAAAAGATTGATATCAGATATAATAAATCTTAATATTAATTGTTAAGTATGAGCAGATGTTGATAAGTTTCATGTAATGATGAAACTTTATGCTATTTCAAGACGAAAAAGCTGGAATTTTCTTATTAATTAATTTGAATAAATAATAGTTTGTTAGTCTGGTTTCATTAACCTATATCTAGAACATTGTTTTGTGGATTGAGCATATTTAATTGAGAAACCGAACAAAATATCAATTTTAATTTCCATTCTATAAAATTAAAGGAAGTGGGTTCAATTTGTATTATCGAATGATTTACTAACTTCAGGTATCTTATAGGTTTCCTCAATATTTCACCTCCAAATTGTCCTTCGCCTTCAGCATCGACCGAAATGAGAGGTCCACCACCACAACGTGATCCACCAATCCCACCATTAATACAAGATGAAGCTAGCACAGCGTATGTTGTCGATGATTCACAATACGATGAACCAGGAATTCCACAGAAAATGAAGGAATACTGCAAAGGTTGCTTTATGACCCTTACCGTATTGATAGAATATTTGTAGTGAATGGATGTAACTCATTCCGGTCTATTTCTCTATCTTTGTGATTTCTTTTTCAAATTTTGTGATTTTTTTTTTTCCAGAATTTTCAGTGACTTCTCTCATATAGAGCAGCTATTCAATTCTGAGGATTTCATTAACTTTTAGTCATACTATTGCTATTTTATTTATGCTTTTCGTTTGTTTTGTACTAACTGCCTTTTGTTCCAAGTGAAAGAGGAAATTCTACTTTTAATTTAAAAAACAAATGCATAAAGAAAATATAGTGAATAATACCTGTTTATCTCTTAGCATCAGCATCGAGGAGGCATTCTAAATTACTGAATAACAATTATGAAATATCAGCGTCACAACAGGTATGAAATTGTTTCATTATTTTGCTTCAACGTTTGAATCAATCATAAAACAAACTATGCTCAATTGTTTCTGACTGAATAAACAAATGAGATAAATGACTGACTGCCGTGTATAACTTATGTCCAAAGAGAAGAAAAAAAACCAAGCAAAATTTGCTATTTCATAATTTTCATCTCTTTAAACAAATAACTGTTTTTTGTAGTTTATAATCACGTATTGCAGATACGTACAGCATTTGTTCCTAGTACTCGTAACTCACGCCTAGGACAACGAGAAAGAGAGCCTGGTCCATCGTGGGACGATGAAACCAGGCAGATGTTACTTCAAAATCCAGAAACTGGCAGTTATTACATCCCAACTAGTTCGGGTAAACTTTTGTCGTGATTGTTTCAATGCTGTGAAAGTATTTATGATATCCGAATGAAGTTTTGGGATTCAGCTAATTGTTAGCAGTCTTAAAAAAACTTTTTTATTATGCTAGATATGATTTAGTGAGAAGACTTAAGACAAATTTTTAAAAGAGAATACTTGAACTGAAATACTTCCTAATGCTGTAAATGCAATATTTAAGAAACAAGGAAATTGAATTGGGAATGCTGAAAATAATTTCAAAATTTAGTGCTCATTGTCACTCTTATCTTGTAATCTTACATTGCTTCCTGATCATCTGGCAGAGGTTAAATTTGTTTTTTGGCTTAGCTCCTCCGGGGTCACACAGGCGATCCTGCCCGACGTATAATTGATTTATTTCAAGTGTGAGAGAAAGAAAGAATGTGGACTTGATGAGAAGATGCATTTCATCGCCTTCATTTTAAGGAGATGCTGGAAGTTTTCTTATCCGAGGGGCTAACAGGACACTTTTGGACAAAAATATTATGAAAGCTTCCTCAAACTTACTGAAAAGCATTTGTACATTGAGTAAAACAAAGTTAGATAAGTTAAGCACTTTTGTAAGCAGCTGTCTCAGTCTAACCGCTATGTAGAACACATGTATGACATACTATATTTTCACTATCCTAGTGTTTCCTGATAATGACATCTCTATAAAATCTCTACAAATTTCAAATATGAAAAATGTTTGATTTAGATTTGAACGAAGTTTCAAAGTTAATCTTGCAAGTAATTAGGCCTGAAATGAAAAATTCAGGGATGGAATATCGTGTGGAAGCAATGGTATATGAATGATAAGAGAATGCTATTGTAAAGTACACTCATAAAGAGTAATCAAGTAGAGCTCTTTTCCAAATAATCATTAAATTACCACCTGGAGGATTTGTTTAGCAATAATATGGGAGTGAATGGTCCTGTAATAAAAGAATTAAGATTAGGGTAAGAGATAATGGAGGCGGTAGAGTAAAAAAGAATTGTTAACCTTTGGAATGTGGAAATAAGATATTATTATTCCTTTGGTTTTATTGTTGATATCCGACGAGAAATTTGCAGTCAGAGTTGAGGAATGGGTAGAAGTAATCAACTGATGGCCTCATTTATTCAACTAATTGCTTCCCTGTTGACATATTTCAACTTTAGCAATAACAACAACATGATTAGATTATGCATGATGAGTTAATTTAATGATGAATTAATTCGATGTTACCAGAGTCAATTTGAAAACCAAAAGCGGATGAAAATTTCGCATAAAATCTGTCAGTGCAAACAAATTCCTCATTAGCGTCATTAAATCTTTATTGGAAGACTTGGAAGTTTGGTTGTGGCGGTTCACCATACTGCTGCTATTAAGTTTTGAAAAGAAGAAAAAACTATATAAGCGAATGATTTAGGAATTTTTGAGGGATTAAAATGATTATCATACTTTTCTCCATTGATTTTTACTTATACTTTTACTTAGTATTTAGCGAAATGAACAAATCAGGAGAATAAAGTATTATTTTTTCAGGTCATACAACAGCGTCGTCTTTATTACCCCACAATCATTCACACGAAAAGTAAGTAGCAACAAGATATATTTTAATGATAGTGCAATAAGATGATTTGCACAGATACAAGAAATCATATATAAATCATTTGGTGTGAATCCTGAGTGATTAGAGACAGATTTATTGATCGACTTTCAGAATCATTCTGATAGTTCAACAAGCTCAATAATATCTGCATTCGGTCTTCTTTTCTTTCATTTTAACATTTGTTTCCTCGAAAAATGCAGCAGTAGTCATATGTACTAACCCTCCGTACAATTACATTGTGTGCACTGACCATAGCAAATGTGGACTCTGTTTTTGTCCTTGTAGTACATTTATTGCTCTTTCTCGAAATTTAGTATTCAATCTGCCGATATGAAGGAGAGTGACTTAATGACTAAGCCAAAAAAGAGTTTCAGAGGTCCAAATGTATGTTGCCTTGACATCAAATTAGAAAGGTAGAGTTAACGAAGTCAGACTTATCCTTCTGTTAGATTCTTAAATAACGAACAGAACATATGATCAGTGATTATACAGTATTGATGTCAAAATGTTGAGGAAATTATGACAACAAGCAGAATGTGTTTGTTCTTAATTTAGAGCTTTGATATAAACTGATGATGAGTCATTTATGCTCTTCTCCCCTGTCAACACTCAAGTAGGATGAAGAAAAGATACGTAGTCTTCCAATCTTTATTTAGGAATACCAATTTCCCGGATTAGATTATCGCTGACAATGGAAGTGCTACAGGATGTTTACTGCATAGCAAATACCAAAAGATTAAAAGTCGGAATGTCAAGTTAACATACATAAATATAAAAACTCTGAGAGCTTACAATTCTTTAATTTACCACTTCGGTAAGCCAAATAACCACTTTTTATAATGTCAGTTAAGAATCCATAAAATTCAATTAATGTTTCAATATGGGATAGATCTGATTGTTTGATACTTGATATTTTCGCATCCAATCCTTCTGCATAATGTTTTTGTTAAAAATACTCATTAAATTTCCAAATGTTCGATGTCACCACGAGTCATTTGAACATACATGTCAAGAATGCTTACAACTGTATTTAATTGCATGATTGTTATTGCTTTCCGTTATTGTCGTTTGGTTCAGTGACTTCATACAATGGCTCCAATGATTTGATGTGCTCACCGCCTCTTTAATTATATCAAATCTAATTAGTGTCGCTAACTCTGGTATAGCTTTACCATTCACTAGTCTATTTTCAATAGCTTTACTGGCTTATGCTTTACTCAATTTTAATTTGAATTTAAATCCTCTTCTTGGTTCAAGCAATATTCTTAACTGGCTTTTGTTTTTCTCGGTGTAAACTCATCTCATCGAAATAGCTAACTTTCCCGCCTGATTTGATATAATAAGCAGGTTAAACATAAATCAAAACATAACTTGGTAGCTGCACTCATTCCTATGACCTAATATTTCCACGATTCGAGATGATTTTCATTTTATTCTGATTTTGCATTGCGAAATTTAATTTTAAAATTTGTTGTTTACTAAAGTTTAATACTTCAGCATTTTTTCCTTCAAGGACTGTGATTCCAAAGAGCATTTGTTTTTAGCTGATATAATGATTTCTAGAAGGAGAAAATTAAGAAATCAGGACTGGTCTAAATTTTCATTCAGTCTCTGTCAAATTAATCCGTCTCCTTATTACGGAGACATTGTCGAATCTTTTCATTAATGAAGGTTTTGAAAATTTATTCATTCTTCGATTAATTACATCTATCTAGGTTTACATTGCAGAACTAATTTTTCGACGCTACAAAATGTGCCTTTGAAATTGAATTCACAAATATCTCACTGTGAATCTATCCTTTCCAAACAGCGACATATCAGTGTTGGCGATTTCGATCTAAATAAGATGTCGCAGGATAAGTGTCATCCAACAGCGATGGACAAGAAAAGACTGAAACCTTTTTGTAATTGGAGGACTCTTGCTATATTACTTCTTCTTTCTCTTGCATTTACCTGCTTCACTATACTTTTGTGTAAGTGTTAGTCCTTTTATTAACCTCCATTTCTTGTTTGAATCTTAAATGAAGTTAGGAAAAATTTTGAAGGCTTTTGGAATATTGTTATCGATGCTTCATTGTTATGCCCTTAACGTATAACTTAATCTCTCACTCAGTTAAAAAACTGCGCGAGATCAACCTAATTTTCGCTCCACTTCAGTATTTGCTCAGATCTTTTTCTGAAGTCAAACATAGTGTATAATTTTTGGTTGATATCGTTCATATCCTGAATTTGTAGGATTTGCGAACCAACTGTGCATTTAACTAATACCATCGATATTTTAATTCCCTCTTTATGTCTTCATTTCCCAGTTTTAAAATGCTTTTTTCTGATATTCTTTTTTTTTTTGCAGTACTGTTAGGAAGTGATAATTCTCGATATGTGTGTGAGCAGTCAACCAAGTCGGTGTATTCATCAGCGTCAACAGGCCTATTCCCTTCAGGTGCATGGCATAATATACATATTAAAGCAACTGTTTTAAAGCCATTACCCGAAAGTTTCGAATTGGGACAACAAATCGAAGCCGATCTACCTCCAGGAGTTATTGTTTATTCGTATGTTTCTCCTCAATGATTCCATTTTTGGCGTACAGTGTTGAATGATATTTATAAAAAGACAAAAATCAATATTTTTTATTTTAGAACAATAAAAATTTTGGTTGAAGGTGTATTTGATTATTCGTTTTTTCTTCCAGTAATTCCATCTATAAATTACCCTTATCATCAGTAATTCTATCCTGTGGTTTTTATAATATATTCTATACATTTATAAAAATAGTTGGGATAGAATTATTTGTATAATAAAATTTGCATAATACTTTTTACATTATTTTCCATTTTAATACAAGATTTCAAACATTATCATCATTACATTAATGCAGTTGTTTTTTCGTAGATATTTTGCGGTACAAAAGAATAGTCGAATAATTTTCAATATATCCGTCAACTCACAAGCACAGTTGGTCATTTATGGTAGACGAACAGCATTACCTTCACCAGCTACCCATGACTTCATGGATATTGTTCATGCAGACTGGTTAACCATTTCCGGAAATTCGTCAGACACCCGACTGAAACGTTTCACACCGGTTTGTTTGTAGCTAAAATTTATGCCTTGTATACACCAAATTGTTTTATACCAATTCCTTAGCAAAAAAGCTGCTAGCTGAAAGAGTTTGAAGCATGGAACAGTAGCTATTAAACCCATTGATTTCTGTTAATTTCACGTTAACGCATTTTTGAATTCAACCTGAAGAAGGCTGTTTGCCATTCTTTCAGAAAGAAAGGAGTTTGAGATTTTACTTGTATTAAAATGGAAAACCATATAATTATCGATTTGCTATTCACGACATTGATTGGAAAACAATTGTTAGCTAAAAAGGTTCAATGACTTAATTCTTGTTCACTTATTATTATATCACCTATGCTGTGATGTCTGTGGTGCCGCTGTAAATGATGTCTGAAAGAAATGCTGATTAATTAGTACGGCTGTTTGAACTATCTGTTGAAAGATTTTGATCTTCGAGGAACAATGCGAGCAAGTAATTACTTGTTGCAGTTACTCCGGACAGCGATCCTGACACACTACTTGCTAAGTGGACGATGGCATATCGGACTACTGAATGATATCTTACAGGTTACTTCAAATTAAAATAGGAATTTCTAATTATGACTTGAGTCGATATAAGAGCTTGGAGAACTACATCCTGAGCACTATCCATAGAGAATAAGTCTTTCAAATTTGGTCAAGTCTTCTTAGATCCAGATATCGAATTTTGTTAACAAATCTTTTTTAACTTCTAAAACTCATTTTATTTAGATAAGTCTAAAGTGCTTGATATATAAAAGAACTTGGTTGCTTTCTCTAGTTAATTATCAGAAGTTCATTCTTCAATATCGGATAAAAGATCAGTAATGACCATAATACCGATTCACAAACATTTGTTTTTCCAAAGATTTAAATAAGTCATATCAGCCATTCCCAATACGTCTTGTTGCTGCGGTGATTGCTGATCAGGTGGCGGACGAAAGGACCGATGATTGTCGTTATGATTGTACAGGACATGGACAGTGCAAAGATGGTAAATGTTATTGTTTTCCGGGATACAGCGGAACTTACTGCGAAGAAAGTTGGTCATTTATTGAAATTTTGGAAGTAATTAATATGGCATCTGTTGTTTAATTATAATACAAATATAGACTTAAGTCAAAATCAATGGACTAAAATCAAATTTGAGAAAAGAAATGAACATATGAGTAAGGGATAGAGAAGGTATGTATAAGATGCGATGAAAAGATATAAAACCTAAGATGAATGTGTAATTAGTAGTGAGAGGTACTTGTGAGAAGGGAAGATTGAGAAATTGTGATTCACATAGTATTTTCTACCTCCTCCACGGAAAAGTGCAAAGGTCGCTTCACCGAATTTCAAAAGCAATCGCTCCTTTCTACATTACAAAGCAGAGATTGCTACTTCAGATATGGCAGTTTGTGATTAATCTCTTTAAATATATTTGTCACAAAAAGATATAATGAAAGGACCATTAAATAGATGAAGTGAATAATTAATGTTAAACTAATCCTATAAGACTTATTCTTTCAGAGTAGACGTAGTTAAGAAGGTTCATGTGGCGTTAAATATCGTAGGATTTTTGGGGATGCGTGCTGGATGCTTTCACGATTTTGATAGAAACTCACTTAGTGTGATTATGCTAGATTTAATTACAAATCGATAAAATATGGGCTTCCTGCATCCTTTAATAAATTAAAATACATTACAAAGATTCTTAAATATTTAATAAAATAAAATAATCTTGAAGTGTTAGCTTTGTTTTAAGATTCATGTCCTGTACTGTGCAGTGGAAATGGAATATTTTCTGGTGGTCAGTGTATATGCCATGAAGGTTACAAAGGTCCTGATTGTGACTTATTGGCGCACTGGTGCGAAGCACCTAACTGCAATGGACATGGTCAATGTAATCAGTTCGGTGATTGCGAATGCGACATTGGTTGGAAGGGTACTTTCTGTGACAAGGTATTTATTTTGTCTTTTTAAGCACATAAATGTTAAGTAACTTTACTGAAAATAATTTGTATTTGAGTGGAATAGTGATAAATTGTCACCTTTCACGAAGAGTATGTCTTCGAATTTTATGATAAGGTCGGAACTGAAAATGTGTTTGAAGTGACAAGATTTCATGTAATTATCTCATACATTTGTTAATCTTGTTGAAAGTTCATTGCTCTTCTTACCTTTTCTTTAGGCTTCCATTGATTAATTGGCTATTATAAATAAACGGATCTACAAAGAAAATTTACTTCTATCTTAACTTTGAATGCGTCAGTTTTTTAGAAAGATTGCAAGGATTCTCAATGTAGTGGTCACGGTGTGTGTCATAACGAGAAATGTTATTGCGAGGATGGATATCGCGGGGAACAGTGTGGTGAAATATATCTAGCGGAGAGCTGCATCGGTAAAGAACTTCAGTTACGCGACATTGAACCAGAATCAGACGCAGATTCAGCTTGTACCAATCGTGGAAGAGTTGATTCAGAGTCAGGCCTCTGCATTTGTATTCCTGGATATCACGGAAGCAAATGTGAATTAGGTTATTAATGAAATTCAATAAGGAATTCAGTAGAGATTTCGGTTTTTTGTCTCAAATATTTGAGATTCCGGTTGATCTTTCATTGCCACTATTGTTCATTTAAAATTAGTTGAAATTTATAGAACGATGTGAAGTGGAGTGCATGAACGGTAAATGTGGTAATGGTGTATGCGTTTGTGATGAAGGATGGACAGGTATGGATTGCACGGAACTGAAGTGTCTTCCTGGATGTGAACAGCATGGACATTGCAATAATGGTACTTGCATGTGCAGCAAGGGTTGGAATGGAGAAAATTGTTATATTGGTTTGTTTTGTTTTAAAATACTGGAATAAACTTTCGGGCATGTCATCTATTCAGCAATGTTTATGAATTTAATTCAGTTCCTTAGTGGCTGTCAATACTGTGTAAAAGAGTATTGTAATCTTGTTAATTTGGATATAAAAACTGCTAGTAGTGATTTTCAGCTGGATGTATTAATGATTGCAACGGACATGGTGTTTGTCGGTTGTTTTCCGGACAATGGAAATGTGCATGTCATACATCATATTTTGGCGAGAACTGTTCTCTGCCAGTCGAGTCAAGTTGTAGTGATGGTGTTGACAATGACAACGGTATCACTGTCAAGTTTTGACGGAAAGAAAAAATGGGTCATGCTGGCGAGAGTCGATTGTAAATTAGGAATTAAATTCCTTTTTAGAAATATGGAAACTTATTTTGAATCATTTTAGACGGTCTAATAGATTGCGAAGATTCGGAATGCTGTATGGATAGTAGCTGTTCATCAAGTCAAATGTGCGTCACTGTCATACAGCCACGAGATGTACTTTTAAAGGTGATACCATCCATAAATGGTAATTTCTATCAGGTGAGCTTATGTCATCTGATTGAATATTCATTGAACTATTTAATATAAGATAATAAGCTTCTTTTCATTTCAATTTTTGCTTTTCAGCAAATTAAATTTTTGATTCAACGTGACTCGGTACAGCGCTATGCAGATGAACGCTATTTCAATGAAAGGTTATAACCTATTTTTTTTTTCTGCATTTATCAGAGGCAGAAAGTAGGGATAAAACTGTTAGAAATCAAATTGAAGAATGATAGCGCTCGATGATCTTTTTTAATGTTAAATTTAAAATTCAAAGATTGAATTACTTACCCTATTAGCAACAAGTTTAGCTCAACTTGACGAGTGTTTTATCTCTTTTCAAAAGCAAGTGTTAGAAGTTTACTTGAAAAAATAATAAGGCATTAGTGTTACCTATAATCACGTCATGTTACAGTTTTGTATCAGTCATTCGCGGACGAGTTTTGACCGAAGATGGTTCACCGCTTACGGGTGTGCGTATTGCAGAGGCAAGGCATCCAACATTGACGGGTTTCACGTTGAGTCGTAGTGAGGATAATGGAGGTGCTTTTGATCTAGTAGTTAATGGTGGCAAAACAATAACTTTGCAGTTTATGAGAAAGCCGTTTGAAAAGCTGGAAAAGAGTTTCTACATACCGTGGAATGAGATTGTTTATGTGGGTGATATAACGATGCGATTGGGGCCGGCGGTAAGTTATTTTTTAGAACGTCTTAAAAAATTCAGTGGGAAGGATTTCAAAATTCAACAGATTAAGAACAAGTGTTGAGTTTCAGTTACAGAGTATAATGTGCTAGAAATTGCAAGATTTAATGCAGATTCTTTTACTTGAAATTGTGAATCAATGTAGCTATAGTTTCTGACATTCACACAATATCGAAAAAAAATGAATTAAGCCAACATTAAAGGAAATGTAAGGGGTACTTACCGAAAAGATTTTTTTCTTCTCAAATTATTAACCTTTGGATTTCATGGTCATAGGCTTACTGCATATCGAATAAGTAAAAAGACTAATGTGCTAAGTAAAGTATAAAGTGGTTCAGAACTTCTCTTAATTGTCTTATAATTATCTTCCTTCCATTTCTCTCATCTTTTTGATCACATAGAAGGTTGTTTTCTCTTTTCATTACTTTATTGTCATTATATGCTTCAACATAGATAGCATTTTACTTCACAAACTACACTATTCATTATTTCCAATCAAATTGGAACTGAGGCATAAAGTCGCAGGCACACACGAATAATTAAAAGGGTCTTTTGCTGGACTCTTTCATTCATTCATCCGCTTAGAAATCATTAGGAAAATAGCAGAGTGATGATTTCATGTATCTAGCGAACGTTTTATGGAGGAGACATACATTGCTATTAATAAAGAAACTGCAAAGTTAATGTGACCTGATATGTTCAAAGGACTAAGCATACATTCATATATAAAAGAAAGATTCTTAGTTTGATGCATTTGAATTTCGTTCTCTCAAATTACGCTTTAAATAGTAATAGTTTTGGCCGGATTAAAGGCGGTAGTTGTAAATGAACGACAGGGAATCAGTGAAAAGTGCCGACAGTATCACGCTATCAATCGCTTAGCTCCTGCCATATTCGCATCGTGGCATACAAACCAGTATTCCGGGAAACTTACCTCTTCATCATATAGTGTTCAACTGCTAGCTGACTCCGGAAAATCCTTCGATTCCATTCAGGTAAGGTTCTCGTCTCGTGAATTGTGCATAACATTTTCTTCCATAATTTGAAGACTAATTCGTAACTTCATATAATCTCGTCTTTAGTTCCCCTCTCGAAATTCGATCCATTTGCTTTTAAGATACCTACCACGAATGAAGTATATCTCGTATATGATAGTTCATTTGCTGATGGCTATCACAGTACGTTGATTATCGAGTTACTTCCAAGTCGCATTCCGGAAGAAATTCGTTTGGTTCATCTATCTGTCAATGTTGCTGGCAATCATTTTCACACAGTTTTTTCGGCCATGCCGAATTTAACATACACTTATTCGTGGGAGCAGACGAATGTTTACACTCAGACTGTAAACGGATTGGTTAATGCTAAGGGTAACCTTACAAACTTGTAGTTTAAACTTAAATATTTTCGAAAAAATTTCCTTAAAAAAATTATCTTTTAAAATAACTTTACTCGTAGTATCGGTTGGATACGAATATGAAGGCTGCAGCAGAAGCATTGCTTGGATTCATCGCCTTGTGAAACTGGAAGGACATCGTGCTAACCGTTTTATGTTAGGCGGTTGGTCATTGAGCATCCACCATCATTACGATATCATACACAGTATGTATTTTTAATCATTTCTATTACTTGTGTCCATATGCTGGACAACTGATCAGTCCACTTCATTGCTTTGTCTAAAGTTTGTTGTCATCTTATCTTCTGAGTATAAATTGTTGTTTATAGATGTACTGGAGAAAGGTGATGGTGTAAAAGTGTTTTTGGATGAAGCTGCTCCGTTATTAATAACAGTAGTTGGTAATGACCAACAACGTCCCGTTAACTGCCCATTTTGTGATGCACTTGCAAAGTACTTCTACTTCTTATCCTCCTAAAGTTCACACGATAAAAATTACTTCTGTATTATATTTTACATATTCCATTGTGAAATATGAATTAGTATCTCATTCACATAACCATAAATATGACAGCGTTACTTTAAAAAATAATTTTTTTGTTTATGTAAAAGTATTTTTTAAATTACTAATGAGATAATGCATTTATAGTGATGCACGTCTTTTCCGTCCTGATGCGTTATGTGTGGGAAGTGATGGTTCATTGTACATTGGTGATTACAATTTAATACGTCGTTTGACACCCAACGGAATGCTTGTTTCTTTGTTGGAGCTCAGGTTTCCTTCCTTTTGCTTTTTTATTGAATTTGTGTGAATTTTCCAAATTAGTTTAATGTTAAGTCTAAATTAGGTAGCAGAACGGAGGAGAGAGAATCGCGTTTAAATATCCTTGATATGTGTTTTCAAATTCCTTGGATCATCATGAACAATTCTAATTGTATTTCCATTTGTGATTTGATTGAATAATATTACAGCATATCGGATACAGCACATCCTTATTACTTGGCTATCGATCCGCTGACTGATTCTCTTTTTATTTCGTTACCGATACATGCTCAGATATGGCAAGTAAATAAAGATATAGATAGTACAACAGATCTAACAACAAATTACAACGTGGTGGTTGGTGATGGAAGTATATGTCCCAGTTCAAGTGAACGTTGTGGTGATGGTGGGGCCGCAGATTTGTCTCAGCTTACCTTCCCCAAAGGCATTGCTTTTGACGAATATGGAAATTTATATATCGCTGATAGTAGACGTATAAGGTATGATGTGAAATATTATACTTTTAAGCATTGTGGTTTTTTCTATAGTAATATTTCATTTTTCTACAAATTCATGCAGTGCATCAAACTGTAGGATGGAATTTCTAATTGGAATTTCAAAAATTTAATTTGCTGAAATAATATGATGCAGTTTATAGGATTGTAGATCGAGAGAGACAAATCAATACGTTGATTGAAGAACGTGAGAATGGACCACGTCCATGTATAGTTGATTATACGAATTTGTCAGATATCATTACTGTAAGTTATAGCTTTGTTGTTTCTTCAAATGACTTTGGCAGACATTGGCTTAAGCAAAATCTTCAACATATCCTTATTACTATCTGCTTTCCAATTTTTTCATCCTTCTCATTAGTAAAAATTCCTCAGAATTCAAAACTAAACAACTTTTATTTATCATTATTTTCAATATATAAATATAAATGAGTGTAAGGTTTGGCCGACATCACTTGCCGTGGATATGCTAAATAATAGACTCTACATACTTGATACAAATGTGATATATCGTATATCACTGGATACTGGTATGGGCACAGTGATAGCTGGGACACTTACTGAATGCGAGCAGATGAAAACACTAGCAGGTGATTTGTTACCACAACGACCATTAACAGAAGCACGGTCCATTGCTGTAGCACCAGATTCTACTATATACATTGTCGAAACAAACAACAAAAAAATCAATCAGGTTTGGTCTTTAATTATGATAACCTAATTGAAATGGACATTTTTTGACGTTTTTAATTAAAAAATATAAAGGTTGAATTGGAGCATATCGAGAAAGGAAAATTCGTTAATATTGTATATTGGATGATATAATGGATGATGATGAACGGAGAGGAAATGAACTGTAATCCAATTGAAAGCCCCTTAATGACATCATTGACATTGCAGTGATAGTCTGGGAAGAGTGATGTTTGAGATTAATGATGTTTTCAGATTCGAGCTATCTATCCAGATAATCGTTCAAAAGTAGTAGCTGGAAAGTTGAGCAGATGTGATTGTGATCGTACAAATTGTCCATGTGAAGATCTTCATTCAACTGTTGCAACTTCTGCTTTTCTTCATTCTCCATCGGCTGTGGCTGTTGATTCAAATGGAATGGTGTATATCGCTGATAAGGCATAGTTTCCTAAAACATTGAAACTTTTATGCTGATGCTGTAGCATTACGACAATTGAGTAATAGTTGTGTTACTATAACTAATAGAACATTTCATTGCTAAATATCACATTTAAACACTGATTTGGAACCTTAAATAGCCAAAATATTGCAATATTTTTACGTACTTACATTCATTATACCTGGATTTAATCAATATTTGAATTTGAAATGTTCTGTTTTAGGGCAATTTTAAAATTAAAAAACTTCAAAAACCTACTGCAATGTATGATGAAATAACTCAGCAATACCGTATCCACAGTCCTCATACTAAAGAAATTTACATATTTAACAAGGCCGGTCTCCATATGAGCACTGTTAATCTTCTTACTGGCGACACTATATTCACTTTCACATACGACGTTGACACACGGTAAGCCTTTCCTTTAAGTTTTGCATTTTTCAAGATTTAGGAAATGATTTTTCTGCAATCATTACAGTCTTGGTCGTTTGTCGCAAATAACTGGTACTGGTGGACATATTTTGCGAGTTCATCAAACAGATGATGGAAAAACTCTACTGGAGACAGCAACAGGACTTGAAACAGTATTGAATTTTGATCAGTTTGATGGAACACTATCAAAGATTACATTTCCCAGTGGTGGTGGGTTGTATTTTTTTTAGTTTCTTCATTCATTCATTCATTTATTGATATATTGGTATTTCAAAGTTTTTTGCATTTTATGATTATTTTTTACGTATATTTAATCTTCCAGAAAGTACCAAATTCTCGTACTTTCCTGGTCATCTTCTTCGCTGTCGTGAAATACTTAATCGAAATTGGTGCTTTGAATATGACGAATTTGGCCGTGCTAAGGCACTGTTGAATCCAGCCGGAATCTATTATTCAGTAGTAAGACGTGACGTTATATATAGCAATTTAGTAACAACAGTGGCAAGAAATAATGAACCATATACGGTTTACAAATTTTCAAATAGGAAATTCACAGAAGAAGGTGAGAATTTAAGAAAAGCAGTTAAGAGTTAAGAGACGATGAGAATTTAGAAATATATAAAAAATTTTCAAAAAAAATTGACAAGTGTGAGGGGTGAATTTTTTTTAAAAATGAGTAGAATTTGATGGTTGAGTGACAATTTCGGAAGAGAATTTCTTGTTACGACGAGAGAATGATAGAGGTAAGTGAAACAGCATTTGGGTGGTTCTTAGGGAAATTTTTTTCAACAATTTGAGAGATTTCAATGATATCTTCAGTCATCTAATACTAAGAAAATCTTTAAGGTACGCAGGATCAACAAGTAACGGTGCTCGATGAAGGTCTGTCAATTGTCGCCTTTGGCGCTCGAACCCATTTCGATGGTGTAACGCATCCTCTGTTAGAACCGCATGAAACAGTAATTTTGAAGCGGAAGATAACTCTTCCGGAAGCTACAGACCCTCCAAGACGTGAACTAAATTTGCGCTTTGAATGGCGTGGCTATATACGTCGCAAGGAATCCGGTAGACGTGATCCGGAGAAGTGGCGTCGTGTTCAGCAGGTCGGAAAGAGACCGAGGGTATGAGTTAGGGTGTGCAGTGCTGGCTTCATGCTCTACTCATACATCGAGTGTCTTCATTTTATTAACTTCTCTCTTTAACGACTTCATTTCAACAAACTGATTTTCAATAACTGATGACATTCACAATGCTTTTTTTCATAATGATTTATTGCATGTTTGAGCTCAAGAAAGCTTGTTGAATTCCAACTTGAACTTATCAGTAGCATACTTGATGTAACTTTCCATATGTTTCATTTCTAATGCTTTGGTACAGAATTTTGCTTACTCTTTGTCGCAGAAAATCGCTTTCACAATTCTATTCACAAAGATTTTAGTAAATTTTTTATCAGTTTGTCTTTGTGACTGTGTCGGCAAGAACAAAAATGGAAAAAGACTTTGAATGGCTCGTCTATTTCTAATTCTCAAAGTCATCTCGAGATTCGGTCTATCCTCACTTTCTATTATTGCATATGAAGAAGTTCTGTACATATCCAATAAATTAGCATCTTTTCAAAATTTCAGATCAATGGACGTAATGTGTTCACAATTGAATACGACTGTGATAACAGACAAGATACTGTTCGGAATAGCCTTGATGAAGAAGTACTCACTGTCCAGTATAACGATGCTGGTCAAATTACCTCTTTTATTCCACTGACACCACGTGAACAACCTCATATAGATGCTATGAAAATTATGCATGATTCGTTGGGAAGGCCAAGTCAAATAACTTGGGGAGCTTTAACTATTGTTTTTGAATACGATCGATTAAATCGAATTATCCTGATGTCAGCAATTACAGGAGGTGCCAGCTACCTTGAGCGGTAACTTTTCCTCATTAACTTAGATTTTTTTCGTTCGCAAGTTTTGAATTGGTACTGGAAAATTTCTAAAACCTACGACCATAACATGATGAAAATTTGTAGGAAATTCTTTTATCAGAAGGAAAACCAGTTAATTCCTTCAATTGTACAAATGCCATCTGGAGAAAAATATCGCTGGCGTACGGATCGTGTTGGCGGTATCACTTTTCTGAAAACCCCAGCTGGTATCGTGCATCACTTCATGCAATATGCTGTCTTTGATCGAGTTTGTCGACAGCGTACCGTTTTATTTTCCAATGCATCTTACGTCGCTTGTTTGAGCGATGACGGATGGTTGCTGGATTATCGGACGCCGGATCGTTTGCATTCATTAATTGTGACACGTGATATATATGGAAGAGTGATACAAATAACTTCAGATGCCGAAAATACCTTCTTCAAATATGGAGGACCAAATGGAAACTTGCAGGTTGTCTTCAGGATTTTGAATTAATGTAATTTCGATAACCAACATTTCTTAGTGAAATCAAGAAATATATATATATATATATAGAGAGAGAGAGAGAGAGAGAGAGAGAGAACAAATTTTGGGAAGAAAAATTCATTCTCTTCGTGACACTTCTTCAAATATTTAAATTTTGGTGTGACTTCTATTCCAGTTGCAGGAAGTTAGCAACAGTTTCCTGAAGAGAACATATAAGTGGCAAGGTGTGATACAGTCTATTGTTCGTGAAGCGCATATGGTTGTCACCCATTCAAATCGGTTGTTATTACTCATTTTCTACTAACTAAATAACATGAGAGGTTTAGGAATGCTAATTTTTCATAAAACAAATAGTAAAAGTACTGCATGAAAACTTCTTATCGTTTAACCGTTATCCGGAGTGGTATTCTGTACCCGTCATTCGGAATGGTAAATCTATTGTTTTTCTTTTTTGATGTAAAGTCTGTTTTTGTGATGATTTGATGAAATTTCTTGCAGTCGTTTTGGCGAAAGTTTCGTTGAGTTTTTGTACGAATATGATGATTTTTTCCGATTAATAACAGTAACAATTATTTATAATGCTATGCGTTTGCAACCACAAAAATATCAATATGATTCTCGACAAGGGCGCTTAACAAAACTCAATAATTTTGTCTTCTTATATGACTTATGCACACGTAGAATAATGGGTGAAACGGTAATTTATTCAGATTTGCGCTCTTTCAAAGTTATAATGTGGTATTTATGCAAAATATCGATCTTTGCGCAAAATGAAATTATTGGAATATGAATATATTAAAGAATTTTTTGGAGTTAAAGGGACTTCCTTGATCAGAAAATACTTCCAGTTAGTGATGGAAATTTTCTGTAATAGTGCGAATGAGGAAATCATGCGAACGTTGATAATTAACGAGCTGAAAGTTGTGGAGATGAGGGTGACAAGACATTCTCTTGGTTGGGTTGAAGCCGTTGACTGGACCATTATTGGGGAGAAGCGGCCAACCGAAAAACGAACATTCAACATGGATGGACAGGTAGTGATTGCATAATTTTAGTTATTTTTTTATCATATGAAATTTTTGTGTCCTTTCTAATTTTTAATGGTTTTTAATTTTTCAAATATTATAAATAAAATTTAATCACATCAGTGCTGCAGTTGGTACAGTATACAATTGGTGAAGCAGATGATCTTCGATGGACACTTCATTACGATTTAGATGGACGTCTAAAAGCTATTAATGATGCAAAAATATTATTTTCCAATGGAAAGTTGAAAAATGTAGATCAGGTCTGTTATTTATGAATTAATGAAAGCTGAAGTTTTGCGCACTCTGTAGAGTCATAAGAAATTCGAATAATCGTTGAAGGTAGACTATACGGTGAATGCGAATGGTTGGACGCGAAGTCGTGGTAAAGTGTATTTCGAATACGATGTGTATGGTCGAGTGCATCGTATCTATCAGCGAGGCTTGATGGATGTTGAATACGGTTATGACGATCGTTCACGTATAATTTGGAGAAGAGTGGGTGACGAGCAATTCCAGCGCTTCTTTTATGCAATACCTGATCGACCATATCTCTTGACACATTTCGTCTCGTAAGTTTCGGTGCTTCTGCATCATTTGCGAATCAAAAGAGATTGTTTCTGAAACTGAAGATTCATTTATTTAAAAATTCTCATTTAACACTTTTTCGGTGAAGATTTAAAAATTATTTTGGGAGAGGTTTACTGATCTCAGGGAGATTGTTGGCTGTAGGATTTAATATGTGGGATAACACAGGAATATAATAATTCTCAACAAGAATAATAGTACAATAAATTTTACAGATAAGAATTGAGGTCAAGTAGTAGAAATCCCTATTTGTGGTCGAACTGCTTCTTGGATGAACCTTCCTGGTTTTTGGTAAAAACATACACTCTAATTGAACATGAGTGACCTCCTTATATAGCAAGCATTATACATAAACAAAGTACACAATAAGAAGTTGACTTGCCGAAAGTGAAATCAGTCTAGCAAAGAGCGAGTTGTTGGCCTGATTTAAAATCAAATCTAATTTCTAGTTGACAAGCCGCAAAAGAGGTTATATGAGCAAAAGTTGACTCGTAGATTCAAAGATGATTTACAATTAGTGACGATGTAGCAATGAGGTCAGCTTAATAAGGAGCTGATACCGTATAAACAACATATGAAATGTTTACAGACTAAACCTATTTTGCGAAAGATTTATGGAACATATTTCTTACCCTTATTTTCTACTCTTATATAATATTTTAGAGTTCCACGACATTATTATCCATCCTATAATTATATTCTACTTATTAAAGAAAAGATGATTATGATCGTTTGATTCGCATAACAAACATTTTCTAAAAATCAGTCAATTTCATCCCAAGATCAGAACAGAACCAATTATTAATTTACAGAACAAACGAAACACCATCAACTATTTTATATGACGACCGAGATGTCCCATTTGCTTTCTACCGCGGTGATAAATATCATGCTTTGTTTGTGGATATTGATGGTTCTGTTCGTTTCATATTTGCATCGGATGGTACTATGGTGAAGGAAATTATTCGTAACCCTCTTGGTGCAACTATTGTGGACAGTAATGATAGTTTCTATTTCCCACTTGGTTATCGTCATCAATTCGATGATCCGCTTACTGGCATTGTAATTCTGGGACCAGAAGCACGGCCATATGATACATTTGTGGGACGTTTCATGTCCATTTCCATTTCCTTTGTCACTTCACCAATGGATATTTTTGCTCCTGAATATGAAAGTGATCCTTTTCGTGTAATACCAACTGAATCGAATTTGCTGCGACATTTCCCAGTTGGTAACGATTGCTACCCGAATTCTATTTCTGATTCCATGCTCTCCATAGCAAGCAATCTATTTCTGATGAATAACTATTATCAAATAGTTTTAGTTTAAATGATTGGAATCGTCCGAACTTGAAGATATGATAGATTTGAACAATAAATTGAGCTTAGCAACTAAAAAATATAAGTACTGGGATTTTTATAATTGAATCGCTTTCGATTAATTGAAAATTTCCAGATCTCGAAAAATGGATGGAAATGTGTGGATTTTCTCTTTCACAAGTGCTCCCTTCTACACCGAATCCCATCCAAAATGACGGTCTTAAGAAGTTGCTGCAACTACCTGATAGCCTATGTACAATTACCGCCACTCACGTCCTCTCTTCATCATTTTGCTCATTGATTCATAAAGTGAAGCATTTCAAGCAGTTTCTTACTGCCACATCACCTGTACTCCTACCATTTTCTCATCCTCCACTTTTCGTCCTCTTCGATAAACCGTCATACAGCTCCAGCGACTCACTTGGTTTTCGCGGATTGACATTTATAAAGCGCCCATCAGATAAGGTATGTATGTAATGCTTATAACACACTTGACTAAATCATCACTGAAACATATTCATATCTTTAAAAGTGTAACTTCATTTAGGTTATATCTATCATTGATTTGGATCATTTGGACTGTCAACTCTTAACATCTGTTGTGTCGTTATATGAGTGCATTGTTAGAGGAATTTGGTGTGGGCCATGTGATATTTAAACTATGATAAGGCTTTAAAATTGGCTTTTGCCACTATCAAAACATTTAGACAGATTTTGTATAGGCACAGCAGTATTTTGATCTGCTTCATATTTTAATATTGATTAATTATGTGTATTTCTTCCCGTTCTACTTTGTTTTAGTGACCGTTCACCGAATAGATTTGTAAAACGGTTGAGAGAAAGTGCTGTGGATGTGATTGAAAGATTCTTGAAAATTCTTTTTGCGGATTTATTCCTCGTTAAAACTAGTGGCAGTATATTCTGCTGGTATTTCAGACTGAACGGCGTGGTTTGAAATATTAGTATATTAAGGTTCATGCTGTAGTCTACCTAAAAAAGTCGTCTTGCTTTTTCTTCATTCTCTTTATATGATTAAATGTATCTAATATCATTTGAATGTTGTTCGTAGTATTTATTGTGATTTCAAATTCCAGTTTGAGGTGATTGGGCACTCTTTGAAAGAAGACGAAAAGTTGAATGCTTTGAGGATACTGCTAGTTGGCAGCTCCTTCCTGAATATTATGAATATGCATTTATCTGGAGAGCTTGTGCAAGTAAGCTTTAAAAAAACTTGTTTTTGACTCTTTCTCACTTTTAATAAGGAGCTGGCTTATCAATTCATTAACATATCGACTTTAGATCCATTTTACCACAAACATAACTTCCGATAAAATCCCACTGGAAGAACTGGCAAGATTTTTCAATATTTCAAATTTTAACCAACAGTTAACACTCTATGCTGGAAACACTCAACTCATATTTCATTATAGCAATGATTCGGTATGTTTGAGAATTTCTATTTCATTAGTATAGCTAAAACCTTTTGCACCTTTAGACTAATTTTTTTTTCTTTTTGTTATTACCCTAAAAGCATTATTTTAGAAATCAGAAAGATTAATTCACTCCTTTCAAATAACATTTCAATTTCTCGAGATACGGACTTTTGAAATACGGTGGAGCTGGACAAAATTTATGCTTATAGCTTTTCCTATTTTAGGAAGCTGTTAGATCTGAATTAATTCGTGAACAGACTCTCGAAATTGGTAAAATAATTTGGAATGATGAAGTAGAACGTGCTCGTTACGGTACCATTACTCGACATTCATGGACCGAATCCGAATTGTCACAGTTGCACTCAAAAGGGCTCGTAAGTGGTTATGAACCTAAGTTTCGTCCAGGTAAGTCGGTGCCTGTTCTTTGGAACACTTATTTATGGACATTTCAAAGGGTAGCTGCTTGAATTCCACCTGTTCTTTTTCTTTTTCTTCATTTGGAACTTTTCTTTTTATTTGATACATTACATTAAAAGCCTTTTCTTAGAATTTTTACCAAATTTTAATAAAGAGAGAAAGACAGGTTTCTTTTTATCTCTCTTCATTTGGTGCACTATAATTTGTTGATATTGTCTCGCTCGTAGTTTTGTGTCATTTTTCTGCCTATGCCACTTTTTGTTTCTTTATAAGTAGGCCGTATAATCTTAACCCAAGATAATGGAAAAGTTTTGCATAATTTTTACAAAAATGTTATAGTATTTAAAACTCCTAGGATTACTATTTTTTTCAATCTTTTTAGAAACATTTAGGCTTCTAGGTTAGTCATTCGTTTTTTTTTTTTTGCTCATTATTTGCGTTTCTGACCACTGTATATTGCTTGCATTTGGTTTTAATTCTATATTAAAAGCCTACTTGCAGCAGCTAGACTCTTAAAAAAAAATGGCTTGCTTTCTCTCCCTTTCTCTTTCCCATCAACTGTCTTTGTTTTACGATGTTTTACAACTTGTCAAATTTTGTCATTTGTTCCACTGCTTTAATTACTCGATTAATAGAACTGCCTTAATACTGTTTGCAAATGAATTTATTATTGTTTGATGGTTTTACTGTTTATTGTGAGATGAATTAGCATTTACTTTCAACAACATATTGATGTTGTCGAAAAAAAAACAATTTGGGCCTGAAAATAAAACCTTTTAGAAAGTTATCACATTTAGCAAAAGACAAATTACCATAAAAGGGACATGAATTGAAATGAAATGAAATTTTATACCCATAAGTATTAATGGAGAGGAAAGCAGGTAATACCATAATACTGTGATAAAAACCAATGCAGCAAACAAACAATACGCCATGAGTGAATGTCCTGACGATATAACCCTGAAATAACCTTATTGAAGTTATTGCTAGGTTGCAAGCAATCTTCCTTCCTTGATTCTAGTATATGAAGTGAGACTGTAGTCCAACTACCTACTTGTTTGTACATATTTCATTAACAAAAAAACAAACAAAGAAATTTGTTGTTATCAAAAAATGCAAAAGTAAACAGACTTTAACAGGCGATATACATATCACACCAATTATCGTAGAAAACGATGCTTGAACAACTGGCCAGCAGACGATACTTAGAGTACCTCCTGAAGTTTAATTGATAAACATGGTTTACTGATCTATTTACATTCACGACAAAATTTTAAAAAGTTTTAAGACTTAAGAAGATTAATTACCAATTGGATCTTTTGAATGGCGTTTGAAATGATAGAAATGTGCAAGTATATGGGAAGAATAATCGACGGAATAACCTATACTTAAAAGTATAACAATGGTGGATATTATGTCCAAATGAGTTCCACAAACATTCAGCAATGCCAATACACCGAAATTGATGCTAAATGTAGCCCAGATTATGAGGATACAATTCATCATTGATGGCGTTAACAGTAGGATAGTGCAGATTGAAGCCATCCCTGCAAGTATTACTCAGTAGTTGTTGATAGCAGCTAACTGAGAAGTGATGGATGATGCATCGAAATTAAACAGCTTTCTGGGTACTACCCTTAGTTTGTTCTTTATCGGACATTGTTAATCGATATTTTGAGGTAAATACTTGCTCACTTCACATTGATTGTGGGGTCATGATCTGATTTGAGCAGTGGCGTCAAAATAATTCTTGTAGCACGAAGATAAATACTAAGTTCTTATAAAATGTCGAAATTAAAAAGAAGAAAACACTTAACATAGAACCTGCTAAAAGAGCATTGGTGAAGAGTAAGTGTGGTACTAAATCATCTTGCTCTGCCAAATCATACATTACATGATAGGTAAGAAAGCGTATTGAGTAATGCTTCTCGGCCATTTTCACTTTGTCCATTATCAAATGCATTGCCTTTCTCCTCAAAGATTCAATTCTAATTTCATCCAATTCTTTTCAAAATATTAATCAATTACGCTTTATCATGCATAAGTGAGAGTCTGTCTACCTGTTCAAACGAGTGATATTGAAAAGTGGCATGTGAAGTCTACTATATCTGATTAATAAGCCTTCAAAAATTATATCACCAGCAAAATGCCTGAAATATTGATTGTGATTGTGAACAAAGTGCTATATCAAAGGATTAAAAAAAGTTTTCGAATTCGAATTTTAAATTGGCTGTAAACGCTCTTAGCGAAGTTGCAACTTGTTTGGTTTGATTGATTAATAATTTCAATTTTAGGAAAAGTAATTAATCACGATTAATGTAAGACAAGAAACTTTGGTTATAGTCAAAAACCTGTATGCCGGATGTTGCAGAAAACTTGTCATGTTTTCATGAAATGAAGTTGAATTGACGACAAATCGTTCAGTATTGCTTCTATTCCTAGAATTCTAGACTTTATGCTGCAGCCTTTTATATCCTTCCCATTAGTATTATTTAAGCCAATGAACGAAAAGATATCAGAAGATGGAAATATATGAAATAATAAATCCAGAAAATTACCCCAAAAAATCTAGAAATACTGGAAGCCAGAAAGTTGGTTTCATTGTATAATTAGTATTTTCGAGAATCGCAATAGCACGAAATAGACGCCACTGCAAATGGCTATCAAAATAATCCAGTTCATCTGGCAAAACTATTTCCAGTGGTGTACTGTATTCGGAAAAGTACTCTTCATACATTCTCAAATATTTGTAAGTTCTGAAACCTTCTAGCCATCATTTTATGTTGCATCAAATTATCGCATTTTTCATAACTTACTTATTTCTGAATATCATATTATCTTCGCCGAAAATCTCGAATGTTATAGTGCAGATTTCAAAAAAGTCTTACCCTGTATCAAAGGGTAAAAGTGAGGAAAGTTGCAGGCCAATATCGATTTTTCTGTTTAGAATGATGGTTGAACCAATTAGATAGATAATATAGGTGAGGCAGATGAATGTGAGGAAGTACTTGTTTTTGAAAATTGTCGCATAGAACAATGGCAGTGACGATTGGGAACGTTCAGATTGTACTAGAAAGTGGATTAATCTTAACAAGTTAATTGGAAAAGTGATGTTTTGGAAATCAATTTCTTATTCATCCAGAACAATTTGTTTCAATAAACTTTTTAAATTTAAAGCATACTGGATGATTGAGTTCCTCCATTCGATTCTGAATAGCTTTGTTGTGTTGAGAAACTAATTAAACTACTGCAAAGAGAATTTGGAGCTTTTGTTGCAAGTAGAGAGCCGAATAATGTGAGTTGAAATAAGAATACGACGAAAAGTGAAACAGCGCTATAAATGCAAAATGTCCGAATGATTGGAATAGGCGAAAGTGAACCAAGAGTGAAAACAAGTATATTGTCTATTGTTGTCAACAACATCGATACTATACTTTCTCTGCAACACTTTCCTATTAAATTCATAATCGTGTTATATTCAAACATCTCACCGAAAAACGGATAAAAGTGGCAAAGTTCATTTTTTTTTTAATTCAGGAATTCCGTTTTTTGTAGTCAGAAAAAATCTTCTAACTAAAATATTACACATCAATCACTAGAAATTAAGAAACACAAATTCATATTTCAGGAACATCATAAGAATGGCTAGTTTAGTTGCTTATGATAATCTAATCCAGTCTGTTTCGAGACTTTTAATGAGAAAAGCAAACCGGAAGGTTATTCGTATCAGATCACAACGATTAATACCAGCATTGGTTGATGAAGAAATGGCATGTTCCCAAATGGAAAGCATCATGAACATATCGTCAATGCCGATTGCTACAGTAAGTAAAACAGGGATTGCTTAAATTTGAAAGAATTTCTTAGGATTCAACATTCAGAAATCATTTGTCAAGCCTCATTGATAGAGATTTTATTTAAGAAAAACTAGAAATTTTTTTTAACATTAAAAAATGCTCACAAAGGACGAGAAATGGTGTGACTAGTGCAACTTGCACCAGGTGTATACCAATGATATGGAGAAAACCAAAAGCTGTCACTAGTCCGCATGCTAAAAATTAAATTTAATAATTTTTAGGCTTTGAAAGAGAAAATACTAAAGGAAATAAAAATTAAACTTTGTTGATGCGTAACAAACCAATATCGATATCACTTTCATCCTTTTCCAAAAAAAAAAAAAGAAAATTTTGTCTTTGCGAGAAAAGAATGACCTCTTTCCTTCTGTTTTAAAAAATTTAACCTAAAAAAACTTTTGACACAAATTGCATTTTAGTTTATGCAAAAATATGCACGACACTGTTTGCAAATACAATGATTCATTTGCAAAATTTTTGCTAAAATGCACTTGATGACGACTTTTCAAGTTCTTTTCTCAATATCATTAATGAAATATTAAAGCATATTTTACTGAAATAATATTAAAGCCAACCAGCGGACAAGACGCCATAGAAAGAAATCAACATGAAACGAAAATTATAGCCATACTTGAATGAACTCAAACAACAGAAAGAAACCAAGCAGAATGCTAGGAGTGGGAGCAATCTGAAACTTATTTGTATTTTATTATTAATTAAGTGATAATTTAAAAGAAAAGCACGAATTTCATTTGAGCTACCTTCTAGTTCGTTCTACTATCAATTTCATATCCCGTTCATACTGGCTACTGCTCCACTTTGTTATTTTTATATTTGAAGGGTATTTCAAGCTACGCTCCACATAACTGTCCCAGATATCATCGAATTTTGTGATATGATAAGGTGGTGGAAAATCGAAAATCATGCGAACACATCGAGCCGAAATAATGACGCCGGAATGTTTTGCGGTATGTACGCCACCATATGTGGTACCCATGAAAATAGTCTGAGATGTGCTGAAAATTCACTGTAAAATACAGGTTTATAAACTTTTGCTACTCTATTAACAATGTTCAAAAGCTGTCTTTTATTGATTGGTTTATGATATGAGATATTAATTTGAGAAGATTCCTATTTATTATTTAAGCAGTAAACAAACTTGTATATGGGAAGGTGCCAAATGGGATATTGAACAGGTTGTGATAGTGTTAGATATGTGTAGGACAACAAGAATAAATCAGGAAAACAATGTCGTTCATATTCTGGTACTTTCGAGCAAAGGTTGGAATAACTTATCATGCCGTCATTATGCTTCACCTTCAATTTTCCTCATCAGAAGATAATTGCATGGCGGTCATTTTTGCTATGAATAAAACAAGATATCCTCACACTTAACAGTTCCAATTTATTTCGAACATTTTGATAAAATTCAACAAATTGAGGTTCGTAAATTGAGCCGGACAATACTTCAAAATTGAGAATACGCAAATTTGGCGATAGAAATGTACGGTCATAATAATATATTCCATGCGGAAATATTTTCTCGATTCTGAAGATGAAATACATTTTTCAACTCTCTTTTTTTCTCATTAGTGTGTGGTTAGAAATTATTTCACACATTTTTAGGGAATATAAATTTTAAACTCCGAAGTTCTAAGTTTTCATTTTCAGGATTTCAAAATTCAAAAATATACTTATGTTTGTTGCGTTCACTTGCTGAGTTTTGAGGTACGAAAAGTTTGCTTGAACCGATTGCGCTTGGTTCCCGAAAAAGCTGACTGAATGAATCGAGAAAGGGAATGAAAAAAATGCAGAAGGAACAAATGGGAATTATTGCAAAATGCAATGGACGTTGTGCGATAGAGTCGCCCAAAAATGCCCCGACTTCTCGAATATAACTTTCCATCGACGTTTTACTCAGACCCAGCAGGTGATCAATAAGAATATATCAGAATTTAAAGTCAACAATCTTTCCAATAAGATTTTAAAGGTTGGAGGTGGAATTATTTGCACCATAGAATATCGGGACGTATATGACCCACTCAATACCTTCTGCTGCAGCGTATACCTAAATTCGACAGATATTTAATGGCTTGTAGTATTCATTATTTGATTCGGAGCGAAAGAGGCAACAATTAGTATGTTCGTGTCTGGTGTTTTGATTGCTCAACAACAAAATTTAATATTTGTGCTGGGATAATAACTTTTTAAGATTGCGAAAGGATTGGTTATAATTTTAACATCGTTACCTGAGTGCACCGTACTTACATGTAATTATCGACCCTCTTCTCTTATATCTCTTCTGTCTGTCTCTTTTTTTCTCAGTTGCTCACTTATATTCGGTATCGTCAATCATTCATTTCCTTGCATTTATAACAATTATTCGTCTACTTCTAAATTGTTCCAAATTTTGAATACATTTCAGTTTCAGGAATATTATCGATCACAAATATAATTGTGAAGAAGTCGTTTTTCCATAGCACATCTAAAAAATATCAATGTAAAATAAATTGTTATTGATAGAAAAATGTGAATTTAAATAGCATCTTAAATCAGTTTCGTTATTTTTTCATAAAATGCGCAGCAAAGGGAAAGGCTCCAATGTAAAAGTTTACTCAACTATAAATGTAGCGGACCCATGTACTTATGAATAAATCTGAAAAATAAGATTAAAGATAAGATCAGATTATTAATTATCTGTGAACAAACGTAAATCTACGATATGCTTTACATTCTTATGCAGTGCTGCTAATTATAGGATGTATTGATAAAATTTTGAAAATATTTTTTCTTCGGCAATCTTTGTTACTGCAATTAATTGAGTTTCTGTTAATTAAACGATCAAACAAGTTACCATCGCAGTGTAATGCAAAATATATCAATGGTAGATATAAATTTGATCCTTTTTTGTCTCATTAGCTGAGATAAAATTAAGTGTATAATTATAATTAACTATAAGCATGAGTTTGCATAAAATAGAAGAGATTTTGCTACGACGAGTATTTTTAAACTTCATGTCTAAAGGCTTTTTTTTTCGAGAGAATTGGTATTTTGAAGAGAAAAGAAGACAGCAACTGTCTTAATATTATAATTTAAAAGATTACTTGGAGATAATCTAAAAGAGTAAACAACAAGAAAAAAGAAAAACTTTCATACGGTAATGAAACTTTACAACACGTCAAATGAAGAGTTGTTTTTAATTTCGAGAAAAAATTTTACATTTTGGCAGAGAAAATAAAGCAACATACTTGTTGCTCATTACTTACCAAATATTGTTTTTCAAATTTTAATGAATAATTAGTGAAAAAGTAAAATGGGCAGTCCATGTCATTCGCACTATATAAAAAGTTTATTTCCTTTTCTTTTTCACATATCTTTTAAACTTCTTTTCTCAGAATTCGTTAAGGAAACTTTATTTTCTCTTCAAATTGCATATAAAAAGCGTGCCACTCTGATACCTTGATAGTTAAGTCAATTCTTAACTTTTTCTTTTATTTTAATAGTAGAAGCTAGTTATCTAAAATCTTATTCCTTTGATGAAATAAATGTGTTCACCGATCTCGCCGAACAACTCAATCTCACTTCATTAAGTGAGTTTTTCACTTATTTTACACATAGTTCGAAAATATAATCGAAAGAATGAATCTTCACAATGCTCGTTGATTTGGAATTCAAAGACTAAGAAATTCAGAAATTACCTAAAGAAACACATATAGTATCGCTTGAAAAGTGAAGGAGATATCTATCCCTTACAAATAAAGTGCAGCATGGAGATTTCTTGAATGTTTCAATAAAACAAAAAAGAAGTAATTAAATTTAATGATGCATAAATATTGTAATTAAATGATGTTATGAAGTTTAAGTCAAAAAATTCAAACATTGTTTTTTAGTCAGTATTGAAAACTTTCAAAATCAGTTTGAGGTACGTGCTTTCATATTCTACCATAACACAATACAAGAACAGCATGATTTCTTCTATGAATCATACACCACTTCAGAAAGCTCAAAATCCTTATTAAGCAGGGATCGTAATCACTGGGTAGGCCATTTTTAGTTTAATCCTAATTTAAATAAATCTTAAAACCTATATGAAGAAATCTTTTGCATAAATTATGGTTTAAGAATACTACTGGCTTGGCTTCATCCATCACTTTCCAGCATTATCACTTCATGCAATGTCTTCAAGTTGCCGTTGAAATAAAGGCGACTGCATCCGAATATCCCTTCATATATTATAATGCTTACGGAGATCTGCAAAGTAATTCATCGACAGTTGGTTTATGTTTACCCGTCACTTGTTTACAGGATAAATTACAAGTAGGGAACGTTTTGTAATTGCGGAAACTCAGGTCAAAAACTGAAATCTGAAATACAAGTTTGTTTCTATTTGAGCTGTTGGGCTATGCTTACTTGCAAAGCATGCAATATTAAGTTTGTTGCATAAGTAAAACCCTCGAAATGAAAATTTGAATTTAAATTCAAATGTTGATATTTTTTCAATTTTTTACAGATCATTTGCCCTAGATGTGTTTTTGGCATTCTCAAGAATTCGAACCTTTCAAACAATAATGAATAAGTCAAATGGGCAGAAGAAAGTGATTACATGCATATTTGGTTGGCGCGTTATTGCAATTGCATGGGTAATCATAGCACATTCTTCAATTTTAATCTAAGTAAGTCCGATTATGCTCGAAATATAGATGGACAAAGATTTTGTCTATCTATACTTCAGATTTGATATCTGTGCATGTTACAAATTAAAAAGTTGTATTTCCAATAAGTTGTAATTTTCTGAAAAAAATTTATAATTTTTTGTGATAAGTTAAAAAAATTTTTAATATTTCGAGTTAATCTAATGATACATACAAATCAAAAAAAAAAAAAAATTTCTCTTTCAGGGTTATTTGAAAATTTTGGATGAATATAGAGATACACTAAAAAATAATTTTCTTCATCAAATAGTGACAAATTGTTTCTTCAGCATGGATGCATTCTTTCTACTTTAATAGCGTATAACTGGTTTCAACAGAAACAGTGCAAACGTTGCTCAGAAATTTTTTGGCGTTAGCGCTTGTTCTCTACACCAAAAGCGAATTACGTTCAAGCATTTCTAATAACTGATTTTTTCGGAGATTACAGGCAGTGTAAAGACAAATTTAGGCATATTTCACGCAGTTCTAAGTAAATTTTTAATTAGTGGAAAGAATAGTCTAAACTGTCTACAGCTGCAATATAAATTAAACGGATAAATTTGAATTTGAATGCATCACATTTTAAATTGACCTGAGAACATATTCCATCAAATTATCATAATGTTAAGAATAAGAATTAATATCATTGAAAGCGATAACAGCTGTCTAGTTATTGAGACAGACGTATAATTAAATACATTGTCGAGAAACACCTATTCATTTAAAAAGGGTTGAAAGCGTTGAAATAAAGGAAAAAGTATAAAAGTATATTTTAATGCTGAGAGATGTGTGTGTCTCATTTGAAATGCCTATTAAAAAAATTTCCATAAGTTTGAAATAAAAGAATTGACATGGAACTGCATTGAGTGGTTTAACTTAATATTTGAGTAAGCATTTAAGATCAGTCAGTGTGCTACAAGATGAAAACAATTTTCAGATTAGATAGCGACTTTTTCTTATTGGCGTAGTATAGTGCATTTATGACCAAATATAGCATACCTCATATTATATTTTCCAGCAGAAATGCCGGTGTTACATTATCCCCCAATCTGGAAAGTTGAAGATCCAAGTGATCTTGCATCAATAACTAGTGGAAACTTTGTTGTTTATCAACACTGTCATCGATGATAACTGTTTACCATGGACCTGGTTTGTTGATTCTTCCTAATTTTTGTTAGAAAATGAATCAAAGTTTCCATAAATCAAAATGAGTTGAAAAGAAGGAAAAGGAATAATTTCTCTAAAAAATCATAATTTCTTTCACACAATCATTACGAAAATATCATACAAGATAGGACTGGTGATATCTGTAGTGTTTCTGCAGTGTTAAATATCATCAAAACGAGACAATTTAGCTTTCTTCCAACGCAATTCGTATGGATGACGCCAAACATATTTAATGCTGACTACACAGAAGTAATCGTTTTTTCTAACAAATATCATTAGTAGCTTACTTATACAGTGATCGACATCAGCCTTGATTAGATTGTGCCTGACTGAATTAATACTGATCAGAATATAGTACTGATTCAGCATAAAATAGAATCATACGTTATTGTCTATATTTCAGCATCACCGTACTATTTATATTAAACTGCAATATCGAATTAGCCTCATATTGCTGGAATACTGTTACGATATTATCTAGTAAATAATAAACTGAAATCATTACGGAAAAAACTTTGTTTGAGATGGTTATCATTCATTCTACTTGGTTTTACTAGCCTATTTGGACTGGAAATTAATAGGGACTGAAAATTTCAATACTTGTTTAAGAAAGACTATTTAAAAGTTATAATTACGGAAGAGAATTGTATTCACCAGCATATCTAGATGCTTCAGGGATGGAACTGATGGTCATATCATCTGTTATATGGTGCCTTACATCGTACCACATGGACAACAGCAATTTCTTGGCTTATTTTTGCGTGTCACAGTGAACAAGCTTAATACTTGGACCGTCTCCTAAGTCTTTCATTCCTCGCATCTTTCGAAAGGCTCTTATGCGGTATCTTTATCGCTGTTTTTATAATAACCAAATATTTACCGACACGAATACCTCGTTTTTAGCATCACCTAGTATAATTTATCCAAACTGCTCCCAGTAAACATTGTCAAATGGCTCAAGCTCACAAGGATTGAAAAATCTTTCTGAGCCCTTGGGAGGATTATAAAATTTAAGTTAATTTGCTACATATTTGTTGACCACGAAAAACCTATATGAAAAAAGTAGTCTATGACAATAACTTCTTTTATAAGAAGAGTTCAAGATTTCTTGTATTCTCCTTCTGTTATACATCGCCTAGACATACTTCTTGACGTAAACATTTCAGTAGATATTTTTATACTTCATGTATTTTATAGGTTTGTTTGATTCATTTATTAGTAGTAGGCAGTTTATTTATAAAGAAAGGATTTCCGATCATCTTCGATGGAATACAAACACTGCTCGTTTTTGGTATTGAACAAATAATCGTTTCATATATTCTTGATTTTTCTACATTGTTTATCATCGAGTGCCCTTTCACAAACATCGACAATGCACTATGGAAAAGATTGAAATCGCATGACGCACAAGGAATAATAAAAACTGGTTGTGGAAAAAACTGTTCTGTTTGAAAATGAATCATTAAAATAAGGATAAATTTCAACTTATCCAGAATTCTAATTGGTTTTCATAATGCTTGTAAACAAACATCTTATTTGAAAAGAATAAGATCATTTCAATTCCTTAATATATATTTATACAAGAGCATCTGGTCTTATGCAAATATCAGTAAAGATTATTTAAGAAAAAGATAGCTCTATTTCCTTCCTTGCTATCATCTTGTTGTTGAGACACCTGTTATAACAGGGAGGTAAATGTGCTGTATAGCTGATAATCGATCTTTTAAAGAAACTAATGTTTGCTCCGCAAGCGCTATATTCTGCTGGCTTGCAAAAGTTGAACCTTGATGGGCAGTGCCAACACAAACATGACTTAAATATTGCATTTGAGCACTTAGATCACTCTCGATCGAATTAAGACACTTTTTGAATGCTGATGATGCTTCCTCCATCTTAGATTTGCTGATCTGAAATAAGACTGAAAAACTGCCGTAGAAATTACTGAAATAACATAAAAGATTTGCGAGGATGCTATTTTAGTTTCATGAATCCCATTTCTTGGTAAATTCCTCAATTCTTACAAGTCAACCATAGTGCACCGACAAATAATCGAATATGCAAAAAATTTACATGAATAATAGACAGTTTCTTTCCTTTAATATGTACGGTGAGACTGACAGTTCCCTCTTCCTCAGTAATGAATAATACCGAAATAATGAGAAATTAAATAATGAAATAAATAATAAAAATTAAATAATGGAAATTCATATCGTTTCAAAGGTTCTGTTAAATTGCGATGGAGAAGCTGGGAAAAACTCCAAATCATCTCGCATTTTAATAAGATATGAAGTAAAGTTCTCTTAATTCTCTTAAAAACGAAACATATACATAATAACACTTGCTTGTTTCTCCTTACTCAGTTCATTGATACATGTTTGCGCATGTCTGATCAATTCAGCTATTTTCTGCTCAACGTCGCCGATAGCTTTCAACCGCCAGGCCAGCTCTGAACCGGATGAAGTGCTCAAATTCGACATATCAAAAACAGTACTAAAAAGCGTCGTTTTGGATCCACAAAATCTACAAAAAATTAACCTATTTACTTTGCAACGATACCCTTTACACGACAAATAATGACAGAGAAGCATTTCTCGATACATTATTCACATATACTTAAGTGAAGTGACATTTCATCCATCTATTAGATGGCTGTTAGCAGTGTCCTACTTACCGGCATGAAGTACCACTTTGGCGCTGCTTATGGACTTCTAAAAACATCAGTTTTCGGATGTAACCATTAAAACTGAGAATTATGAACAAATTCATCTTACAGCACTGGATGTTCACATACCAACAGCGCTAAACCCGTGACTCCACCTTCGATCCACTAACCAACTTGCTCAACAGAAGTATCAACTCCCCTCCTCACCGAATACCTTCTTTGGGTTCGGAGATGATTTGCAAGAAGCAAGAAGCAAGATGCAGCTTTGTTGACATTGATGGTTCGTTTCATTTTGATTAAACTGTAACCAGGAAGTGTCTAGTGTTGTTGTGATTTGGAATGCCAAAAGATCATCTGAATAAAGGAAATGAAGGACATAAACGATCTCTTATGTTCGTGCTTAGATGACACATCCTTCCTTCATTACTTTAAATGTTGATTCATTGCAAGAAATTTTATGTGACAAATCTCTCCGTACATGAAACATCAGATTAGATTAGAAAATTTGGTGGGACTTGTTGAGCATTTGCGAGAAACAGAGGAACTGTATTTCAGGAGAAGATATTGAAATGCGATGGATTACAATCTGAAAGATATCACATTGAACGTTAAGTTGGGAATCGTTGTGTTTGACCTCTGATAAACTAATGACACACCAAATGTGTGTACTTCTATCGTCACAACGCAGGTGAATCCTCATTTCTATGTCTTTAACTTAAATCATTTCGTCACTTTGCGCATCCTGTATATTCTCATTTCGCTTTCTTTTTTTTTTTCCATTTCTCTTTCTTGCATGCCTTTAATAATATATTTATCAGTTTTGAAATAAATTTCTTCTTTGATTTTTTTTAAATGAATTTTTAGCATTTTTGCATCACTATTTCTATGGGAAACTGCACGACCAAAAGGTATAAATTTGCGAAGCTGTCGATTAATAAGTAGGAAGATTCCGCCACCTGGAAAACCACCAATTTGCCCTCCTGCTAAAAGAGTATTACGCTTTTGTTATCATTTTCGTATATTTTTCTTCAAGTGCTTCGGGATCTGTTATCTTCAACTTCTACTTAATTCGTTTCTGTTACTATTTTAAGTCAAAAAGTCCATTTAAACAATTTTATTGTTTAAGCATAGTTTCTCTCACGTTTCTATCATCTCTCATGTGCTGCATAGTAATTATTTATTCTCGTCAAACAGATGTTTATTTGAAGATGTGTATTTAAAGATATTGTATAATGTTGTGCATCATCGTTGGATGAGACCCGATGTTGTCAAAGAGTTATTATGGCGTCGACATGTTTACAACAATGCTATAGTATCTTTGCGTAAATTGTTCAGAGAAGAATCTGTTAGAAACAAATATGAAGGTGCAAATTTGTCAGATATTTTTATGGCCTTTATATAAAACTTCAATAATAAGGAAGTATTCTCTGTAATTTAGTCATTTTTGATAGAAATCTACAAAGAAAATATTTTAAGATATGATAGCTAAGGAAAAGCAAGAAGAGAGTGAAGAATTTGAGTATTTATTATCAGCAAATGAAGAGAGAAATCGAGAAGCAGCAGAGTTGGTTTCTCTATTCTTTTTTTTTTTTTTTTTTGCAATAAAACTTGCGATTAAATTTATTTTCATATTTTTTTTTTAGATCTTTTGAATTGGGAAAAAATTTTTTAAGTGTGAATTCAGGAGAAGAGAAGAGCGTGAAAAGGAAGAGCTGAGGAAGATGGAGTGCGAGTATTTAAAAAGTATTGAGAAAGAATTGGAAAGGAAGGAAATAAATGTAAAACAAAGGATGAAAGAAGTGCTTCAGATGGTAATTTGTTCTTGATGCTTTTGTACTTCACTATATCTTACTTACTTTTTCAATCAGTTTCCTTTTTCATCATAGATATTTTCCATTTTTATATGTTTTTTGTTGTATGCTTGAAATATATCAGGTTGAGCGGAGCAAATATTTCGTAACTGACGAAATTTTGGATGAGAAACTGGAGGAAGCTTTGGATAATCCAGTCGTTTATGATTACGCGGTAGATTTGCAAGGTAATAAATATTATGTCCCAGTACCGGAAAAATATATCAAAGGTACGCCTCCTCGCCAAAAGGGGCGCATGTACGATGTTACTTTGGGTACAGAGCATTACAGTAAGTTGGTGTCATTCTCTGCTGATTCGAGTACGAATGCTCTGAAAGAGGGCTTTAAACGGAAGTAAAGCAAATTTAAAATACTTGTTTAACTGATTTGATTTGAAATTTGTTACAATTTGCTTCAAGTAATTAGGAATTTAAAATCCAATTTTTTTGTTGTTTAATAGTTGAATCCAATTTATGACAGAATTTATAAATGTTCTAGATGATTAGGAAGCAGTTGATAATATGGTTTAGAAATTGAAACCCAAAGAAATAAATGATAGCGATTTCACCAACTACTAATGATAACACATAGGACGCATTAGTATAGGGGTTTTATGGTATTGGTAAATATACTATTCAATCTGTGAATTATAAGTTTTTTACAAATTTTGAACTACTATTAAATCACTGTAAAATACTTTTGCGTATAACTCTTTCATTTATCGTACTGCATACTGTTGTTCATTTTTAAGTAATTACTTTCTGTATTCGTTTTCATTTTTATTATACTTGTAATATTTCTGGTGTTAACTTTTGATAACTTGACTATATGGATTTTTAGAACTTGCATATTTCATGTTGTATCCATTATGTGTTCTCCTGCCATTTTATCATGAAATAAATAACTTAAAGATCTAAATTCAGTTTCGAGTTTTCGTTATTACGTCATTTATCTTTTCAAAATTGGAAATTCATGGTTAGTGGGATTGATATCGAAGCATGGAATTTTAGGTTTTGCCGTTTCAAATCTACACTAACTGTCTTTTGCCAGTTATGTCTTTCGATATAATCTGAATTGTGCTTGTTCACATTTAGTACCTTGTGGTTGACACTCCTGTGCACAGCGATTTTTTCATTATGCTCCAAAAAAGCAAGCTAACACCAGTAAAACACAAGCATAAATTAGGTATTTACCGTGGATATTAATCTTTATCATTGGTTACATCTGTTTCTTTTTTTTTTTTTCAGTTATAAAGATACTGGTACACAGGATGTGGAGACATATTACCACTTTCATGAATAGGTATGAGGCAAGTGTGTGGACTGAACTATATAGTTGGGTCATTAAAGCATGGGAAATCTTCAGTTCTTTTCGAAATATTCGTAACTCCTTGGTAAAAGTAGTTGATAGGTTTTTGTGCGTCACTTGTAAATAATTTTCGGATTCAGTTTCAAAAGTTTCAATTGTTTATTATATCTTTTAAGCATTACTTTTTAGGAAGAGATGCCGATACCTCCACCACCCCCATTACCACCTTCAGTATTACCTGCATTAAGTATTAGGTCAAGCACCACTGCGTTGCAGTCAAAAGCTGATGATCGATCCAAACTACTCAGTGAAATTCAAACAGGTATGAAGTTGCGGAAAACTGTGACCAATGACAGATCAGCACCAGCTGTCGGAGGAAGGGTTTCAGGTAAGTAAACCGCATGAATATAAGTTAAGAAAGAAATACAAATAATGAAAGATGAGTTTAGACATTATGCAAAACAACTGTGATTATAAAATTGACGGATAAGTCATTTTCTCTATAAATTTGACTTTATTTGAATTTTTCCTGCAGATTTATCGGAGACCAATGGCAGGGCTACCACTACTAGCGGATCAAAAGTTTCTGCTATTGGGGGAGTTAATAGTCTTTTTGTGAATGGTATCCCGAAGAAGCCCTCTGATAACAAAAGAAATCAAACAAATGTCTTAAGAGGTCTGTTTTTGGTTTTAAAAAAAAGAAAATTTCATACTGCTACCGGAAATTAATCATAAACTTAAATATCTGATCATTTTTTTATAAAACAAATTAAATGAATTGTTACATTCAGGTCCGATAACTAGTCCACCGCTTTTACCAAAACCATCTGAAATGCATCCAGCAAAGCCAATAACTCATTCAGAGTCTCAAGAACAGGTAATTTTAGAATTATCTATCCAAGCTAACTTTGTTTCATTAATTAAACTAAGTTATGATAAATGCCATTTTGTTGGCATGCATGATATGTCTTAATAATTGCGTCTTTGTTTTCTACTTCTTTCTGCTTTTGACGAACCAACTTATTATTTTATATCTATCCGAATACCATTTTACGCATGCCATCTTCAAAAATAAACTTTACTTCTTTTCAGCAACTTTTGGCACCATTGACGGAATGTTCTGAAGCTTCTAGTATATGTCGTCAAACTTCTGTCGGAATAGCAAGTCGTCTAAAACAGTTTAATCAGGTTTGAATTTCGATTCAGTAAGACACTTTCATTTTTATATTAGATGGTATTTTCATGTCAAATATAAATTCCACTTGTTAGTTTACTTCCGATGAGATTCATTTCTGAACAGAAAATATGGTCTCAGTTGTATATATCTATGTACAAAATGTCGTCGATTAAAACGATTCCTTATATTGTTTTTCATTTTCCAAGAGCTTTAGATCAGTCGACCGGGATTGGCACCACCAACACCACCATCACTCAAAACCAAACCAATTGTTAAAGATATTAAGTCTCCACCGGTGAAGAAAATTTCCGTTCCAGAGCAATTCAAAACTTTGAGACCGAACAGGCCTGCTAACGATGTATCTTCTTTGCGTCGTTCTGGCAGTTCTGATGTTTGTTAATTTCATTTAGTTTAATTTTATTTTATGGGGAATATAATGGTTGTCTATTTATAATGTTGAATAAGTTAATACTCAAGCCACTAATTTTTCCCGTGAAAGAAAAATGATTGTATTAGTGAATTCGGAATTATTACAAATCTTTCACCAATCACTCACTTTTTTAGTGTCATTTCAGAATATAAGGAATTCTCAATCATCACTATCGGATAACCGTAGCACACCTCCATCAAGTACTCCTTTACCCTCGAATCTATCTAGTTCGACCAAAATTTCGAAACCAGCATGTCCTCCCCCTCCACCACCTATCCAGGCATCTCGGGTCGGACGTCCAATGACTAATCCATTCAACCATTTCACATCAGTTTCATCCTCCGGAATGCCCTCTAATGTATCAATCGACGAAGACTCACCTCCTCCACCACCACCTCCCCGATTAGCTTCCTGTACTGATCAAATGGATCGTTTCATCTTCATTCCGATCAGTGAGTTACCACCTCCAGGAATTTTCTCTGGAACAAAAAAAATCTACGAATATCATCCAACACGCAAAATTCAAAATGCTCCTTCGCTTTAACGTTAATTTTGGCTTCAGATAGATTTATTCAATTTCCGCGCTGATTGATCAGTTGTAGTACTCTACCATGCATCTTCTGTTTCATTTCACTGTATTTTAATAAAAACTTTGCATTCATAATGTTGAGGTTATTATGCTTAATTTTAATTGTTACTGAAGGATGGTTGGAATATATTAAGTCATTTATCTTCATTTTCTTAATAATTTTAAATAAAACCAAATTCCAACAATATAATAGATGCGGGTAGTTATGTTGAAATCCTAACTTCTCTATTTTACTGAATTATTTTTCTGGTATATAACAGATTTGTTTCGTGTTAATTTGGCATCATTATTCTTGGCCTCGGTTTCTGTAAGTAAACTGCTTTATCACTTTGGTTCTTGATCTGGTAAACATTCGCATTTGTTGAACGAATACGAAATATTGAACTTTGTTTTACAAATAATGCTAAGAAATAGCCGACTATTTCTGGGAGTAGAATAGTATATATGGAGTAGAATATATAGGAATGATGATTAGCTTATCATCTGTTTTGTTGCTCATTTCAAAGGAAAGGTAACAGAGTTACTGAAAGTGGTATTTTAAGGTTCTTTCCTAGAAAAGAACTAACTGGAGTTTAGACAATGTCATGCTATTTTTGAACTAGTTTTGATAATATAAGATATGCACTATAATTTTGCCTTTCGCCGATTTTTAGATTTCTTAATCAGATGTGCTTGCATTTCATTGATAAAACCGCATGAATTTGCAATCCAAACAACTGACATGAAGCAAGTTTCTTTTCTATTTTTGGGAATTATTTTAAGCTCACAAAGTGCTAGGAAGCGGAGTAAATGGAGAGTAAAAATTCGTAAATTTCAGAACTAGAGTGTCATAGAATAAGCGGGCAAAAAAATATTTAAAAGATCTTTTATTTGGAGTGTTTAGAGTTTTTGCAAACAGAAAACCCTTATTATTTGCGCAAAACTATTCTTTCTCAGGATTGACGTTGACGGCTTGGAAGTTTACTTCCCTTATGACTACATCTATCCAGAACAAATTCTCTACATGAGTGAATTAAAAAAAACCTTGGATGCTAAGGTAAACTTTCCGTGGAATTCCACTAACTTATGTGCTTAGTTTTTTTAATTATATCCTTACTCTGAAATAGATCGTAGTTTTTATTTTTTTTTTCTTCATTGTAAAACGAACTATTATTTATAAGAATATCAATTACAGGGACACTGTTTACTGGAAATGCCGTCAGGTACAGGTAAGACTGTCTCATTGCTGTCACTTGTAATAGCTTACATGCTGCGATTTCCGGACCATCTGGACAAACTGGTCTATTGTTCCCGAACAATTCCAGAAATTGAAAAATGTGTTGAGGAACTTCGCAATCTTTTCAAATATTACGAGCAGTGTGATGGTGTTGGTATTTTTTTTTTTTTTTTTTGTCAGAAATAGAAACATATGGAAGGGAAGAGGGAGACTTGGTTTCTGTTAGCCATAAATTTGGGGAACTGTCAAAAACACTTCCTTTTGTAAGGAGCTAAAACCGACAACAAATTTGTGTATAAAGGAAGTTTACAGTTTTGGATATCGTATCACTTTTCATTTGTTTAAGAAACCACCATCTTTATTTGCGGTAGCTCTTTCTGCTCGAAAAAATTTATGCATTAACGAATCGGTATCTTCGCTGCGGCAAGGTTCTCTAGTTGATGGAGCTTGTCAGAAGTAAGTTCTACAATAGGCTTGTTTCCAATTTGTAGTTTAAATTTTATACAAAAATTATTTCTTCTTAGGACAGTAATTAATCATTTGGTTGTTTTATAATGCTGAATTAAGGCTGACAGCAAGTTTTATGCGCGCTAAACGTAGGCTTCGTCCGGACTTACCGTGTTGCGCATTCTTCGAGAAGTTAGATGAACAAAAAGATTCCAATTATCCTGATGGTGTATACAATTTGGTATGTTTGTTAATTAACTAGTTCTTTAAGGGTTCAGTTTTTATATGCTGAAGATAACTTAATTAATCTGATGTAAACTCATTTTTTGTTGAAATTTAATAATATGAATGAAAGGAATGTAATGGTTGAAGCATTTTCTGTTAAATTCTTTCTTTTACAATTTTTTTGCAGCAAAATTTGAGAAAATTGGGCCAGCAGAAAGGAATCTGTCCGTATTTTTTGTCACGCAATGTTGTCGATCGTGCACATATTGTTGTCTATTCTTACCATTACATCTTGGATCCAAAGATTGCAGAATTGGTTTCAAAAAATTTTAGCCGTCACTCATGTGTTGTTTTCGATGAAGCTCACAACATCGGTTTATAATCTTTTTAAATTCATGGACAGTCGAGAAGTTTGCTATCTTAATTTGAAAAATTTGTAACGTGGAAACAAGACATACACTGTTGACAATTGTTTTTGCTATTTCGAAAACGCCGGCTTTTCCAATGATATTTGTAATCAGGATTGACTTCATGAAGCATAAAGAAAACATTCAAATATTTTTTTATCATGAAGAAAATATTTTTCGGACAATGTTTTTTAGTCATAAAGAAAACATTTTTCAGATAATGTTTGCATAGAGTCAATGAGTGTGTCCTTAACAAAAACAACAGTTGAAAAAGCTACGCAGAAGCTAGGTCTACTTGAGGAGCATGTGCAAAGGTAATGAAATCGTGAAGTGCGTACATTAATGCTTTCCGGTTAAACTCTTCATTTCAAATTCATCTCATGAATTTTTTTTTTTTTTTTTTGCTTTAGAAACTTATTTTCTCAGATGTGAACTGGTCTGATGATGTATTACAAAAATGTTTTATTCTTGTAAAAGTTTGTTCACTAGAAATACGTAACTCACAATTAAACAAATTTAACTAAATTATAGGATTGTTTCAAATAGAACATTAAATGTTTTTCAGGTTGAGGGAGGAAAACAGTGAGCAATTACGAGTAGAGTATGATCGTTTAGTTGAAGGACTGAGGCGTATCGAAGAGGAACGTACGAACGATCAAATTTTAGCAAATCCTGGTCTACTTTTTATCTCATTGTTTTTCAAAAATTTCCTTCTACATAAATCTAAAAGAATTTCACTAATTTAATTTTCAGTTTTGCCTGATATGATTTTGAAAGAAGCAGTGCCCGGAACAATACGAAATGCGTTACATTTTATTTCTTTTTTGCGTCGTTTCAATGAATATCTGAAACATCGGATGCGAACGAAGACGGTTCTGATTGAAAGTCCTGCTGCATTTCTTCGCGATATTAATGATTTAATGCATATTGATCGAAGGCCACTCAGGTTTTCTAGTGATTATTTTCATTCTTTTAGTTTCAACTTGTAATCTGTTTATTTTTTTCTTCCTTATTCAGATTCGGTTCCGGTCTTTTAAGTGATGCTCGTTTTAACTATTTTGTCCTACATAAATTGACGATGTGACAGCAATGTGTTAAAAGAAGGAAACGAATCCGAATGAGGATGATCTAAGTACGAGTTTAAATTTTTGGATGATTCCGTCTATATAAAGTTACTGAATAGGCAGACTGAAGAAGAAATTCTTGAAATAAATTAATATGTTGGAGCAGAAAAGCCCTGTTTGCTAAAGAAAAAATTTTTCAATTTCTTATTAAGTTGGTGCAAAAGTTATTACCTTTTTTCTAAATTTGAACTTTACTATTTGACACAAATAAATGTTACCAAATTTCATGTCACTTTAATGCAAATTTCTTCTGTTAATTTTTCAACTCATTTTTTTAATCTTATTATTTTTCTCTTCCTTGTTTTTCTTCTAGTTCTTCACTATAGACCAAAAAACTGTATTGGGCAAAAGGCAAATGCACTAACTCCTTTTCTTTTTTTGAAAGCAAAATGGTCATAAAGCAATGGAGACAAATCGGAATTAGCATATGATTGAGAAACCACTGATGAATATAATTACGGTTATGTTTTGCAATGGAGAAAGGAATCTTAAATAATGTAATAATGAAATATTCATTGGAGTTTGCGTATAACTCCACGAAAAGTTGTCAATGAACTGAACGTCAGTTATTTGAAAATCTTTTGGTATTTGGTGCAAATTGGACAGGTGAAATTCAGCAATTAGATGTCTGTCAGCAATTAAACAAGTCGTTTTGATTTACTGTATTCTCGTATTTTTAATAACAGCTAACCGCGCTTTACTAGATTATGGTTTATGATACGACACAAAATAAATTATATTTTTATGCGCAAAAACTCTGAAGTAGTTCCCAAAGTAAAACTTGGACTTAAGAATGGTTATATTTATACAGTTACATTTGAGAAGTATAACCAATAAGTCGATGAGATGTGGGGGAAACTATAGCAACTTCATTCAGCATCAGTCAGTAGAAATAGCTTGGTACTTCACCTGATGATAGCACATACAAATATTTGAAAAGAATTGGGTAATAAGATTTTTCCTCGTCATACAACAGTTTGACTAAATTTCAACAATAGTTTACGGATGAGTTGAATGCGGAATTTTATAGAATTTTGAAATGTTAATTAAACCCCACCTATATTAATTAATAAATATAATTTAAGTCGAGTTTGGTTTTCACGACTCGAAAACATTATTACTTTTGCACCAACTTAACAATATAAATTCAGGTATTATCAACATTATGCCTTTTAAATAAAGGCTGTTACTATATTTAACAACCGTCTCTTATTTTCTGATTTTTTTCTTATTTGATAAATGCAATGTTTAAACCGTATTTAAATGGTATAAGATTTCTTTAGATTCTGTGCAGAACGGTTTGCATCGTTAACACGAACTTTGGAGCTGGCTGATATATCAGACTTCAGCTCATTAGTGCTAATTACAAATTTTGCAACTCTCGTCAGTACATATGCACGAGGTATCTTTTTATTAGTTTCGGTTATTAGTACGGTTCATTTTTGGGTACACTTTTTGTATTTCTTAATACATGTTCTTATCCCTCTTTTCCAGGTTTTACAATTGTAATTGAACCACTGGATGAGAAGAGTGGTACTAGCCATAGCTGTACGCTACATTTAAGTTGTATGGATGCCTCAGTTGCTATTCGTCCTATTTTTCAACGGTATCATACAGTTGTCATCACTTCAGGGGTAGGAATTCCAAAGTTACTTTTTAGCTAAAGAGTGCATTAGGCAGTGGCGATATTATTTCTTTCTTATATGAGATTATATAAATTATATTAAATCATAGTGGAGTGCTTATTGTATCGTACAATGAATGAATGGTATGAGTTTAACTCTTTTAATGGAATTTGTTTTTATTTTTGAAAAAAAAAGGAGCTTGAAGTCCATCTACAAAATAAATGCAGACTTTGTCGCCACTGGATATGTACCCGAAAATTCTGGACTTTGATCCAGCGATTATGGCAAGCTTATCAATGACACTAGCGAGACCATGTATTGCTCCACTAATTGTTTCAAAAGGTTCTGTTGCTTATGCACACAGTTCGTGTCTTTAGTAATTTCATTATTTAATGCTACTTCAACTGCTACTGTAATTTGTGTCTTTTATCATTTATCACAATGGTTTTACTATAAATTCATTACAGGCAATGATCAAGTTGCAATGACATCCCGTTTTGAGTCTCGGGAAGATGCTGCTGTAATCCGGAATTACGGGAGTCTTGTTTTGGAACTTGCTTCTCTGGTACCAGATGGTGTTGTTGTTTTTTTTACCAGTTATCTTTATATGGAAAATGTTATTTCAACGTGGTATGATCAGGTATTTATGTTCTATAGCATAGCAGAATCTATCTGATTTTAAGACTCAATTTCAGTGAAACAATATTTCAACAATATATTTTCAAATGTTAATTCTATAAATTATCATTTATCTCTGTTCTTGCAGGGCATTATTGATGATTTATTGAAATACAAACTTTTGTTTATTGAAACAACCGATGCGCTCGAAACAAGTATTGCTTTAGAGAAATATGTGGAGGCATGTGACTGTGGTAGGGGAGCTATATTCTTTTCTGTTGCAAGGGGAAAGGTATTTCATTAATCTTGGTTTTGCTTATGAAAGAACTTTTATAAGTCGTTTTTTTTTTTATTGAAATGTTGGAATTTAGTTGAAATATATTTCTTATATAATTATTTAATTCATTTTTACTCAAAAACCGAAAACAATAGGTATCAGAAGGGATTGATTTCTCGCATCATCTCGGCCGTGCCGTCATAATGCTTGGCGTTCCATATGTATATACCGAAAGTCGGATATTGCGAGCGCGTCTAGAATATTTGCGAGAACAGTTGGGAATAAGGTCGATTATCGTTTCGTAATTGCGAAAATAGCAGGCATTCAAGAGAAACACTATTTTAAAGTTGGAAAATATAAGAAGAAGATAAAAATTGAAGTTTTTATGAGAAACAATAATCGATTTTCATGAAAACTCAATGGAAACATCTGTTTCCCTTATCATATGAAATTTTAGGGAAAATGATTTTCTAACATTTGATGCAATGCGTCAGGCAGCACAATGTATGGGCCGTGCACTAAGAGGTAAAAGTGATTATGGTTTGATGGTGTTCGCTGATAAAGTTAGTTCTTCTTGTTTTAATAGGAGTTTTTAAACTTGAAAGTTTTTCTTGTATAACTTTTACTTATATTGGAAGTCAAGTTTTTTTTAGTCCTTTTTTATTTTGCAATAACTTGATGAAATATTTACAAAAATTATATTTTAGAGGTTTTCACGGAAAGATAAGATGGGCAAACTTCCTCGTTGGATTCAGGAATATATAACTCCAGGCAATGTCAACCTCAGCATTGAAGAAGCTGTTATAATAGCAAGAAAGTATGATTTCTGAATATTTCATATTAATATGCATAAATTGTATTAATTATGAAGTAGTTGTAAAATATCCTTTTGAAATTATTTTCAAAGGTTGTTGGGATAATAGTCTTTCTGAAATTTTTGTAACTCAGAAAGTAAGTAATCAATAGCATTTTTTGTAGATGGTTTCCATTAATGGCACAGTCATTCACTAAAGAGCATCAGCTGGGAATTTCATTGCTTACTGAAGAAATGCTTCGCGAAAAAGAGTTGTTGGGGAAAAAATTTGGCCATGTTTTAGAGGAGGTTGATTAATAAAAGTGAAATGTATGTTTGCATCTTCGAGACCAAGCATTTCATTTTGAAATGGAATATGAAAACCAGAAATGGCGGATTTTTCAAATGAAGTGTGGATCATTTCTGTCAAGAATTTTCAAAAATACTGAAAATAGAAACTATCTGTTTATGTCGATTACCTTTGATAGAAACTCATAGATTTCATAGAGTTCTGTTTATGTATACTGTGCTCTATTTAAGAAAGTAATGAAGGCCTTCTAAGGACATATTCTGGGAAAAGTAAGTTTTAGTTCAAAAACTGGTAAAACAAATTAAACTAATTTATAATTTGTTTCCTTTATTTTCCTTCAATCTAATGGACAGATTTTATTTTACGCATTCCTACTACTTCAACCAAGTTCTATTTTGTTTCGTGATAAAATCTTTGTAACAAAATTTTGAAGATTTCTTTACATTTATATGTATTTGTTGTTCTGTTTCATCTCATCGATATTTAGCAGCATTTGGCGAATACCGTAACTTTACTGCCCTTTACACAAGGTTAAACGGGTCTCATTTATTGATTCATATAGTGCAAGAAAGTTCTTTTTTACTGTTTGCCTTTTCCAGATAAAACAGACTTGTTTAAAGTTGTTTATTGGCTTAATTTTTTTTCCTAAACTTGTTTTGAAACATCTGTGGTTGGTTCCCATTATCCATTGTTTATTTAGAGAAACCGTTTTTGCCAATTTCCCTCAGCTGCTATCCCTTTCATTTTGTTTAATTAAATGAAAAATAAATATGTTATCATTTTCCGAACAATATTTTAACGTGGCTAGTAGCCATATGATTGATTTTTATGAAACATAGCAGTATATACATACGAAATTCCATCATTGTAGAATTTCATATATATGTTATATTCTTACGTTTAGCACTTATACACTAACAATCTTAAGTCCATAAGCTATTCTTCAAATGTATTTAGTGGTTGTTAAATACACTTAGATATATCTGGTGTCCTTTTCAAAATCGCAGTTTCATTCGGACTGCAATCCTCACTGAAATGACCCGTGCATGAAGAGCTATAAGCACTGAAAAGAATGCAGTTGTTGGAATGAAGTGTAATATGCCTCTCGTCTCGGAAACAAATCGCAATTCTCAAGCGCTAATGTCCAATTGCCACCATTGTGGAATTTTGTAACGATTGTTGTTTGTAATAATTTCTTTTACCGAACCATTTCCTTCAGGAATTGATGATTTGGCGAATATTTTTGCTTTGATTGTGTGCGCATAATCTCTGATATGATAGGAATATGGTGTCGACTCAAGACCGGCCAACTCCCGCACCACGGGTCAGTTTAACCGACCGAAAGCCACTTGTACCAAATCGTGCCTTGAAACCAACAGTTACTCGAAATTCTTTTATTACCTTACATGATCCAACTAGAAGGATATCAAATTCATGGTTGCATCATACTCATCTGCCGATCCAAAATTTATCATCAAGAAGAAATTTACGCCGTGTCAAATCTTTGTCCGCTATCCGAAAGACGGTGACAACAAATATTAAAAGATCTGCTTCACTGATCATTCAGGATACTGATTATTCTAAAAATAAAAATAAATCAATATTGGATTTGAAAGATCCAGAAGGTTGCGTTGCAAGGATTGCAAAAATGCTGGATTCGGTAATTTCTGGGGATGCAACTTCCGCAATGAGATCAGCAGAGGAGCAGAGAGGTTCCCCAATAAATATAAATTTAGTAGCAAGACGTAATTTCTGTACTGGAAGATCAAAATATTTGTTGAAGGGTCGCACTATTTTTGATGCTGTGAATGAAAGTCACAGTAATATTTCGGTAATCTCCAGTTCAGAGAATGTTTCACGGTGTGGTTTGTGGAACTCAGGATATATCGGTCTTGAAGCATATTTGAGCATGGTGGAATTACTCCATGATGATGTCTCGTCAATCAGTAGGTAACTTTTTAATGCTTTTGATATTTGTTGTTATATATATTCATATCTATGTGCCAGTTAGTTTCAGACGTGAAAGAAGTTTCGATTCTTCCGGCAAATGTTCTGATGCTAGCAGTCTTAAAAATTCAACCTTGATTACACATTCTTGGAATGAAAGCAAGAAGATGAATGACCGAGACATTTTAGAGGATAAATTGCTATTGTCGGCATGGGCTGAAGTCATCATCTGCAAGAAAGAATATGGCAAACTATGGATTGTTGTCGAAGAAGGCGCTCTGGCTGGTTGGATTACTAACACTAAAGTATAATTCAGTTCATTCTTTTGTTATACTTCTAAAGATGAAATAATTAGAACACATCAAAGTAAATCATATTTGCAAATAAATTAAAACTGTTGAAAGGCTAATCAGAATAATGTTCGGTCCACATCGTTTTAGGAGCACACAAAACCGTCCTGAAACGTGTGGAGAAAAGTAGAACAAAACTAATGTAAAATGAAAAGTTGAATTTTTTACTGAACAAAAAACTTTTTGAAATCTGTTCATACTAACAATATTATTATGGTTTCGAAATGTTCATATAACTTTTAAAAAAACTGCGAAGAAAGACCCATACATTTATGAACAAGGGTAATGAATTTTGATTACATCAAAGGCTTCTAATTAATCAGTAATCAGATATGTCGAAATCTATTTAATATTTATATTTGCATAAATCTAGTAATTGGATTTAATGACAGAGCAATCAAAATAACAAAGATTTAAAAGTACAACGGTAACAAGTTACAATCTTTATAGAATAGAAACAATCAAATCAACTGATAAAGTTAATTTATTTTGCCGTGCAAAACGTTAAATGATAAGTGCACTTTATCTCGTGTTTTTATATTCATGGCAAATTTTTCAGAATTTTAGTTCTAATCTCATTTAATAGAAAAACCATTCCTGCTGCTGTAATAGTGTACAGTAAAGCTTACTTGTTTTAGGATGGCGATCCCGTAGTTGGCCCCTACTATCTGAAAAACATTTTGTATGTTGGGAAAAATCCAGTAAATGGTTCTGTTGAGTTACATATTCGGGAAAATTTTTTGTGCAGTCATTGGACAAATCTTAAACTCAAAATGGTTGCCGAAGTAGAGAAGTGGATTTTGGATATTGTAAAAGTAAGTGGTTTTTGCTTGCTTTTTAATTCAGTAAAAAGTTGCTTAGTTCGAATTCTTTAATAAAGCATTCATTGCAAGTTTATAGTGTATCATGCCGAAAAATGAATTGTTACTGTACAGTGTAAGGAGTCTAAGTGCGGGAGGCAGTGTGTGGATACGTCAGGGAACAGCGTGCGCTTGGTCAAGCGGTTGGATGTTCCTCGATGGAGTTAGTTTCAAGTTTGGACGAACTAAGTTGCATTAGCATTTATGTAATACTATCCGATCTTTAATTAATATAATTAATTTCAAATTTTCCGTAGTAAACTGAAGAAATTGCAGCACAAATTATATTACGCATTGGATAGTTGTACTATATTGTTTGAACTTGATGTACGTAAATTTGTTGGAATGAAAAGTACACTAAGCAAAGTTGATTGGTGTGCATCGGTTGTTGGTTCAATGAAAGGGCCATTCCTTCTGTTACAAGAAGGAGGGTTTGTCTTTTTTCAAAATATAAAACTTTAAAATATTTCTATGAAATATTCATTTTTAATTTGTAAATTCTTTTAGTTCGAAATACGTTTTTAAAATATGGGAAACTATAAACAAAAATTGAAAATCATTTTCCAGTTTTGTTTATAGTTCTTTATTCGTACAAGCGGAGTATGATTCGGCTACTTTAACGTGGATTGATTTACTAAATCATCAGATGGAATGTAGTGGCTATCGGTTGGAGGACTCGAAGTTAACATCAGATGATGTTCCTGTTATTGTTGATAAGTAAGCTTATGATCGAAAGTACTAAATGGTAGGGTTTAATAAGGAGTAAATTCTAATTTCTAGGGAAAAAAAAGTGGATGAATTTTATTTTCAACAAAACAGTTAAAACATTACTGCTGTTTATGACATTTTTATGATAACCAATTACATTTCAATTTGCAGGTGTATAAAGTTCATTTCCACATATGGTCTTCTACAACCCGGTTTATATCGTCGGAATGGTCCTAATGTTGAAGTTCGTTCACTTCTAGCTGAATTCAGAAAAGGCAAGTTTTCTTAAGTTTTTTACTTTTAAGAAATTTTAAATATATGAATTTTGGTTATTCTTTGCTTCATTATTTTCGTATTTTTTTCATTTCGTTTTTTTTTATTTAATTCAGAAATAATGATTTCCGTTAGCATGCATTTGTAATTTCAGATCCTGTAAATGTGCATTTGTTGCCTGATTCAGGTGATATGACTAATGTAGTGGCCGATGTACTCCGATCGTTTTTCAGACAGCTTGATTCTCCGCTTGTTCCTTATCACATTCAGGATCGACTATTCGCTGTTGCTGACATGAAAGGTGTCGGGTTTACAGTTTCCTCATTGCAAACATAATTTCTATGAACTCATTTTCAGATCGAGCTAGATTAGATGAATATCATGAAATTTTGATGGGTTTGCCACGAATACGCATTCAGACATTGAGACGAATTCTTGATCACTTAAAAGATGTTACGGAACTAGCATATGCAAATTTAGCAACCGTCGAAAATGTTGCGAAAGTTTTTGGACCAACATTATTTTCAGTCGAACAGGTTTTTTGTTTTATTATTTCATCTTTCCTTTCACATTAAAGACTCTGTGGCTGTTTAGTGTAGGCTATCTTATGACTGTTGCCCCCATCGCTTGGTATGCTTTATTTGAAATCTACATTTAGTCTATCGCTACTCAAGCTGTGGCATAAATCTCACTGCTTGATGAGTTTCAACATGATGTTGAAATTCTTATTATTCTCATTTATACATCCTTTGCCATCATTTCCTCCCGCGATATATTAAATCACATTTTTGATTTCCATTATTAAACTCCATTTTTAGGGTAATGGAGTAGATAACAACAACTTTGTTGCTACGATACAGCAAGTGAACCTTGTCAAGGATCTTTTAACTTATTATGCTTCTATATTCCGCATTTCAGCGCGTGAAATGATTATAAAGTCAAAAATAAATATGTTGCAGGAGAAATCAAATCAAACGAAGGTTTTAGGATTTTTTCAATTTTTGTTCCAAAATTTCAATTTTAACAAAGCCAAAGTTTGTGTATCGGACTTCAGGCTCGTGCAGATGGTTTTCTTGTTCCTGTACATATTCTTGAGAAAGATAATCATACATTCAATGTGCAGTCATCTTCGAATGCGGAACAAGTGAGCATTTTGATTATCATTATTAAATTATTAACTATATAGCTGAATCTTTGTTATGATTTAAGTTTTTACATTGATGGCGATTGCAGGTCTGTGATGCAGCTAGAAATAGGCCAGTTGTTCGTAATGAGGCTGATGTAAACAATTTTGTACTGTTTGAGGTATGATAACTATTTATTATGAATCATCGGACGAAAGCCACTCGTTTTATTCAGTAAGGTTTTGGATAGATTCAGTTAATTAAAATATTCTTTTAGGAAATAAAATGTGGTCAACTGGAAAGGCGCGTGAATCCGCCTGAGAAAATGAGCTCAATGGTTACTGGCAGATGGCTTGACTGGGAACCTGCTGAATGCTTTCTCTTATTTAAGAGAGATCCTATTCCATATTCATTTAGGGTTATTTTTTTTTTGTCCAGTTTTTGTTGTGTATTTTTGCACATGCAATTAAGGTGGTGGTACTAAAATCTTGGTATATGTTTACATAAATGAATTTATTGGTACGACATTGATCCTATTCCATATTCATTTAGGTACATGTTTACAAAGTAAATGAAATTGGTGCGACATTGGGTCAAGCGATGTATAAGGATGAGATTAAAATTAATTTGATACATTAGAGTTTCTATAGATAAACTATTTTGTTTTGAAAAGTGAGGGAAAAAATAATAATTACAGAATATACATGTTGTTAAGAAATAATTATGATAAAAATGTAATAATGAAAATTTACAATTACTAGCTTAGAAAAACAACAATTCAAATCTTTTTAAGATTTTCTTTTTTCTAATTTAGTAACAAATACTTAGATTTTATAGTATATAAATAAACAGTAATTTTTTCTCTCCAGCTTTCATATCCATTTGCTGATGATGTGCGGATTGCGGAGCAAGGGACAAAATCGTTCAGTGTTGGTCATCTGAAATTAGAGGGTGGATTAGTTGCGTACTACAATAAGGTACAGTAAACTACGAAACCATGTTAAATTCCAATATGTCGCGAGTTTAACGTGAGAATAAATATTGTTTTGTTTGGCTAGTTAACAATTTTCAGGATTAATCCAGTCTTCAGTTTGGTTACCATGATAATGGTAATTTTGGTGGTGATAGAAATCAGTTCTCTGTTTCTTAAGTAACGCAATAATTTCGGTTTGAAATCCAGTTAATGACACTTTTCTGTTTGCACCGTGTAAACATTTGCCATAGCATTAATATTGTCTCATCTCTATGTTTTTATTTATTCTCTCATTTGTTTTTCCTTTAATTACTCTACTTTCTTATTGATTAAGAGGTACTTCACCAACTAATTCAGTTCTGAACCAAAAGCCGAGAAGTAAGGTTGACATACCGATAATTCTGAATGTAACAAATGATGCATAGTTTCAGTTTTTTCAGGGCTTGAAAAAAATAAGTGAATGGCATACGGACGATATACTGTGGTACATTGGACATGAGAGCAGCCGTAAGCCGCCTTATCCACATACTCTCACATTTATATTACCAAAAGATAATAATTTCAAGTACAAATCAAAATACATGGGTTATTGTGTCGCATTTCGTGAGGCGACTCTGAGGACGCAATGGCTCAACGCAGTAGTCAGTTCACAGCAAGATTTTCATGAAAATTCTGTAATGCCCTTGGTGCAAATTTAAATTTTCTAGTTTTTAAACTTTAAAATGGGAAAATATATTCTTAATATCTGTACTTGCTAAGTGGATTTATATGTTGCTTTATTTGAATCAATACATGTTGTTATATATATATATATATCTCAAAAATATGTCTGCCACTATTTATGTACTCGTACTTTTTTTTTTACCTCTTCAACAATATATGCTTAATCTAGACTGTATTATGATTCACAACCAAACACGACAGTTTCTTTGACACGTACTTTGGGAGTCATTTCTTGCTTGTCTCTTTATGGATAGTGAATTCCAAGCAGATATATTTTGAGATAATTGTCTATAGACTAGTTTATACTTAATTAAAACGAACAATTTGGAATATCCTGAAAGTTGATCGAATAACCGAAAAGTTGTTTGGTGCTTTTTCGTTTTGATTAAATATATCGCCGCATAAAATAAAGTATGATTTAGTAGATGTCATGCTATTTTCCTGTATACATTTCGTCACTGTGTTAATAAAACAATGTAGAATTACTTTTGAATTATACGGATACATTTGTTATATTATTAATTGGTACATTTCTACACGATCAATTTATTATAATTTAGTCATCGAAGAAAAAAATCCTATGCTTTTATTAGAAGGGCGAGATGTATAATTTCTATTATATCACTATGAAAACGAGTGCGACCAATCTTTGATGACGGAATTAAAAAATCCCGAAGTTGTGTACTTTGATTTGAAAACTTTTAGTCTAAGAGAATTTTGCACTACAGTTTAAAGTTAATAGTTCCTAAATGTCGATTCATTCATTATTTGGTGCATAGGCGATCTAACTACATGATTGTGTCATTATCTACTTCTTGCTGTTAATTTGTGACGTTGACAATGAAATGAAATAAGATGCAGAGGAAGTTTAGGAACAAGTGGATAAGAAATTGTTTGAATTATGATGCTATCTATGAACGTATCTAAGCACTGCTAGTGAAGTATAGCGGTTTAGGATTTAATGTCATTAGGAGTATATGTGTTTCGTTTTGAACGATATCGCTTTTATTATCTATGTCGCACTCTTCCGAAATTGTGTGATGCTATGGTAGTGTGTGATAAAGTCATGGCTCAAATTTAAACAGTATTCGAAACAATTGTTTAACTTGATTTCAGGATAGCTTTACCGTTTGAAATTTCAAAATAAAACTTCAGAAAGTTGAGAGGGAAATGCCGGACTTTGTCTTTCCATAATATAGCTCAGCTTATAAGTTTAGTAAAGGCTACAAATTAGTCAACGTTTTGCTCGAGAAATGCTCGAGATAGCAATGTTGATCCGCTTCGACTAGAGAAGCAATTAGAGAATGTGGTCTATTTTGAAACAAATGTTTCCATCTGAAAATGATCAATGGATGTTAGAAAGAAAAAGATAGCAACGGAATAAGTTGTGTGTGATCGTCGAACTCGATTTTTATGAAATAAATCCAGAGTGATAATGAATAACGGAAAATGCTACTTCTCTCTGAAAATTTCTGATGTAGAAACTGATGTAGAAATTTCTCTGAATCTCTTCAACTATTTTTTTGTATTTTCCATTTATGTCACAAAGATTTTTAGATCTTGAAAGGACCTAATATTAAACTGTCTGTCGTTGTTATTTTCCAGTCCTGGTTCAACACATGACATTTATAAATTTTTTATTAATGTAAATCTCGAAAGCAGATCCTGAATAAGATTTCTGATGAATAAATTAATTGAAGCAATTTTCAGCATTGTGTTTGGCAATTAATAACAGTTGAGATGTTGAGTCTAATTCCTCATTTCAGTTTAATACCTTTTTTTTTTGTTGACATATAAAATGAATTATAGTAATTTATGGTTCACAAGGTTTTATAGCAATTTTGAATAAAAAAGTAAGCATAAGATAATGGACGATACTGTACAGTTTCATGTTGTGCTTAAAAAGATCTCAATTGGCGTTATTATATCGTATTTTGCATTGACTCATCTACTGAAATCGAAGCGTTAGAATTTTTGTATGTGGTACTGTTCGCAATAAAAGAATTTCGAATTTCATATAACGAACGGGTAAATGACACTCGATTATGTAATTCCAGCATCTGTAGTCGTGTCGGCTTTTCGATACTATGTGCCAACGATGGTGCACTGCGTGGTTTCGAGTATAACGATGGTAGATGATGTGAACGTGGCCTGCAAATAAATTTAATTTTAAGATATCCATCAATGCAAAGCGAATAACTAAACAAATTACCAGCAATATTTCATTAATTCACAAGTATGAACTCTCAAATACATTAACGATTATTGCACTTCATTACATGATGGATTGTAACGTCACGGAAGTACTAAAAATTAAGACTCTGCAAAATATTCATACAAAATTGAAAAAGGCATAGACTTACGTTGAAGGTGTATAATTGTACTTTTGTGCGACAACATTTGGTCGTCCGCCTGGATAAGTTATCGAAATGTTACGGATTAAACTCGCATGCGAAGAATTATTGTCTTTTTTGCCAAAAAATGATGCCGGAGCAGGATACCAGGGAATGGTTGGTTGTGAATAGAAATGGATTCGAGTAGGAATCTCATTACCAGTTATCTCAGTTACTCTCTCAAATGGGAGCTTAAAACCGTTACTTTATAAATGTGTTGGTTTTTAAAGTAATTTTAATTGAAAGACAGAAAAATAAAAGCAAGAAAGCAGAAAAAAGTAATCTCATTTTAGACAATATGAAATACGGTCCTAAAGAATACCATAAGTCAGAGAGTCAAGATAGACTTTTTTTTTGAATTACGAGAACCCTGTTCAGCTTTTTGATTTGATTCCATTGTAAAGATTGCAGAGTGAATTTAAAGAACTCTAAAATCGATTTCTATAATGGATTGCACTTTGCTACTCTTAGCGAACATATGAAAAATGAAGCATCATTTACCTACCTGAGCCATCAGTTTAGTTATTTGTGCTGTCCTCTCACTGAGTTCATCAGTTAGCTGACGAATTCTGTTACTCTGAACATTTCATTTATGTCTTTCTTCAGCATACTTTTTGTAGTTCAATAACCAAAATGTACGCACATGTCAAATAAATTTTTGTAAAATTGTCCGATATGCAAAGTTATATTCTAACTAGAAATTTAATTATCCGTTACTGTTTTTTAACAACTTCGTCCGGAAAAGACAAAGGAAATGCTAGACAAACGTTTCCGATAGATTTATGGACTACGTCTAAGTAATGAAGATAACGATTCAGATTAATCAAGTATTTTCAAGTCAGAGACCGTTATAAACATAATTTTGACATGATCTAGATTTTAAATCATTTTCTTTTTTTTTTTTTTTTATTTTATTATTATTAAAATTTCTATACATTAACGGAGATGTGAGGAGCCTTTCTAACAACGAGAAAATGTTGATTGGTATTAAGATAACCGTCATGATAAGATTTCATGCTAAGACACTATTTCTTAACAACACCTTTATTACTTTTCATAATACTAGTATTGATGAATGCTGAAAACATGATAGTGATTAGGATGGGCAATTAAACAATGAAATTAATACTTTACCTGATAGGCAAGTTGATTTTTCAGCATTCTGATCGTTTCATTAGTTTTTTGCTCTAAATCTCTCGATTTTTTCTCGCATTTCTGTAACTCTTGATTCAGCTTATTCGTATTCTGTTCTGCTTTTTGCAACCTGTAGTCTTTATCCGATCGTGTCAAATGAATAACTATGTTTCAAAATAAATTTTGTAAATGAATTCTAAGCAAAGGGAGGATTTTTTTTTTTGAATTGTAAACAAAAAATGATTTAAATATTTAAGCAAGGCTTGATTTTATTTGTTTGGACCTTAAAAATTAATAATTATCCAGACGCAACAGTAAGTCTAGGTTTAACAAATAAGACATTTAATTCTAAAGAATATTTGCAATTCTTTTTACTTTTTTCAATTGATGATCGGAGACAGCAAGAAAAGAAGAAGCTAAATAAAAACATTAAAAACCTAAGATTCTATTGAACAGGTACTTGTGTTTCTAAAAATCGATCGATTATCATTGAAGTTAAGTGAAAAATGTTTCTTCCATTCGAAATTTCAAGCATTTAGTTCTTCTACATAGAGTTGCGAATTTTTTGCTGGCCACATTCACGCAACATCCTCATAAGATAATGCGCTTGAAATTTAAAAATTTTCAGATGGCTTATCTTTCAGTATGTGAGAAGAAAAAACTGCCTTTTTCGAAGCAGCTCATTTTCATTTTCGAGTGTCGTGTTGCTATCGAACGACTTTTTCACATAAAGTCTACGGTAGAGATCTGTAATGGATAAAAAAGAGGCAAAACCATTTAGCTGAGTACTGAAATGTTAGAATTAAAATTGAGGAATGGGAGAATTTGTTCAGTAGTAGTATAATAAACTGAGATGGATAATAAATCCTGCTTCATGGATATTTTTGTTAAAATTCAGCTGAATGATACTCTGACGCTGCTAGGATAAAATAAGGAAATCACAGCATTTTACAAACAGTTTAGCTTTCAGTTATAAAACCCACTTATCCAAGATGAGTTTTATTCGTCATCAAGTTGGTTTATAGCTATCTAACGAGTTACAAAGTTCTGCATCAGAACCTTTGAAAACTTATTGTTTGAAATCAATTTTTTAATGCTTCAAATTACTTTGGGTATAATTTGCCATTACCTCTCAAATGGTGATGAAGTCTTTCAATTTCGGCGTGTAATCCAGTTAACATTTGAGAGTTCTCGTTTTGCAAAAAGGATATTTGAGCAGTTTCATGTTGACGCCACATATCATCTCGTTTTTCAATAGCCACAGTTATACGGTGTGCACAGATTTCATTAATCAGACTTCCAATTTCACTGAGTTCAGATTTCTAAAACTATTGAAATGTGATCAAAAATCACTGCGAGGTGAAATGCCATAAGTGAACATTAAATCATGCACTTTTTCATTTCATCCTTTCACATATTCTAATTTAGACACAGCTTTTCTAGATTCTAGAGATCTGAATTCTAGAGAACACTAAATGACGGAAGTTTTCCGACCTATTCGAATCTTAGGAATATAACATGTCTTAATATCTACTATTGTTACCTTAATCATATAAGGTGTTCCTCAAGTTGAGCTTGTAGAGTTTTGCAAAAAGAGTCACATGGAAGCAAGAATCAATCAAAATTATATGAACGATAAAATAAAATATCACTGACAGATTTATTAAAAATCATTTAAAAAGAAACAGGCATGTCTAATTACATATAACTTACTTTGCATCCCTTAAAATCATATACTCATTAGTTGCTGGTTCCAGTCATTATTGATTATTACTCGCTGAAAGCTTTACACGACATACTGTTATACTCCATCTATCTTTTTCTGACCTGCTGACTTGTTTTTTGATTATAATATGAAAAAATGAAGTCACAAATTAACCTCGCATCATTTTAAAAAATGGGAGAAATTCTAACTATTTTCGAGCTCTTGAAAAACAAGGAGCAGTTGTAACTATCCATTTTATTTCCGCTATAACAAACCTATCGATAGATAACAGCATAGGATCAGAAAAAAGAACGCTAATTAAAATTTAAAAGATTTTTTTGTTAAAGTAATTTTAGTATTGAAATAATTTAAAGTAATCTTTTTTCCAAACAGTCAGGATAATTGCAATTACAGCCTGATCTACTTGTTTTACTTAAATCTTGATGAGTTCTAGAAACTGTCCTGGATTTTCTCTGATATGTACCAAAATGAATAAATGCAAATTTATGTTTGTGAATTATAAATTGGATTTTATTTTCCTTTTGAGATGTATGAATTTGATGTCAAATAAAAACAATTCGATATGCAATATATGTGTACTTTGCTTTATCATTGGATGCGTTTCGCTGTTTTCGTGTACTTCCTTTTTATCATTCATTGGATTTTTCATGAAACCGTTACATATGAGAATGCTCTTTCGATAATTTCCAGTTTCCTTTGCTATCTATGAGAAAAGCAACCAATAAATGACTTTCGATAGTTCAGATGCTTTCGATAAATTATCTAATTTTAAAAATATGTAATCAGCGACATAAGAAAGAAATGCGTGAACTTCGCAACTTCCCAAACTATGACTTCAATTGGAAAAGTAGAACATATTTATGTGAAACCGGTCTGCTACATTTGAATATTTTAGTATGCGCATCATTTCGAGATCACATCGATTTACATACCGGAATGAATTTTGTCAATACTTGTGCAGTTGCTTCTTCCACATCTTGATCAAAACATTGTATTTCTGCCATGCATTTTGAGATATCAATGCCGATACTGGCTGTTCTTTTTTCCGGTAACTCTAATTTCGGCACTGCAAATTTTAGAATTATTAAATCCTTAAGATTTAAGGTTGGGTCAGTAATAGACTGATTACTGTGAACAAATAATTTAATTAGAATAAAAAGGTGTAAAACCTTTGATTTTTACTTAATGAAAATTTCAGGTTATATAAGATACATGACAAAGAGAGTATGATCATCATGACATCATATCGATTAGATCGACAATTACCTTCATTCAAAAATTCCAAAGATTGAACTTGAAAAGCCCAAAAAGGAGTTAAAAAAGATCGGTCGAGGATCGCTAAGAAGCCGAAGTTGATCTAATTTCCAAGTACATCTACCTAAAAAGTTCCATGTACATCTACCTAAAAAGGACGGCGCATACTATCATAGATATTTGCTAGTTCCGGTCGATTTCGTATTCCTTATAAAATGAGTAAAAATTTTAGTGAATCAGTCCAAGAAATGTGGGGCAGTTTGATTAAAATGACACCTTTTAGCGATTGTGCACAAAGTGTGAATGACATATTCGTTGCAGAAAATTCATGCAATTTTATGCCACAGGTCGTTGACAATTTGCCCGAGAATTCTTAAAAGACCAATCATGTTATCTGAAATATTACCCAGTCTTGAAATCTTGAAAAAGTCGCATTGACATTCATTTTCTACTATAATAACATAGGCAAAAATAGCAAAAATAAGATCCAAATATTAGCAGAAATTTTCGAAATTACATGGAAAATTTCTGGTACAATGCTTACAGCTATTATTCCCTTAGTATGATATACACACACTGTAATAGTAGAAATCAAAAAAAAACCTATGGTTGGTGGGAAACAAAACTGAAAAGTGAGAAAGAACATTCAGGAATTGATGATGAAGAGAAGAAAATTATGAGGAAAAGCTTACACCTCCATAACTGGACAAAGGTAGACTAGCAATAATTATGGGAAATGAAATTTTTTATCAAATTCTGTTAATATCGATAATCAATAATTGTAATGCACCACTATCTAACCATGTCCCAAACAAATTTGAAATAATTAAATTTAATGTCCTCAATGCAAATGAATGAAGCGTGAAATGCAGGATTAAATTAAGTGAAAATTCATTTTCACGTCCGCAAAATACAACGAAAAAGCTAGAATGAAATATGCTGCCAAACTAGGGGTTAGAACAAACTTTAAACTGATATTGATAGTACTTGACTGATATTAACATTGATGTTGACAGGATTGACTTTTCATAAGGGAGTAAAAGAATTGAGTAGACTGTTAAAGATTGTCATCTCTTCAATGATTATCGATTTGCCGTCTTTTATTAAATGTATTTAAAGTCTCAAAAATAACTTTGACAGATTGGAAGTTTATTTTAAAGACTTTAGCCATGTTGTGTAATCACTGAAGTCTTTGTACGCACGGTTATTCGACAAAAGAACCGAACAAACAAGGACAATGAAGATTAATGAGAAGTACTCCTTCCATTCAGTAAAAACATCCATCCTTACGTTATTAATTAAAACCTTCCCTACTTCTCCCGACCACAATTACCAGCAGTAAGAAAGAGCGATAATGGGATAAGTAAAAGAAAGAAAATTTTCAAAATTCGAGTTTAATGCTATTTTCAAGTGAGAATAGATTAAGTTTTCTTATGTTTCAGCTTTTATAATATAACTTTTATAATTTTTCAGCTCTTATAAAGCCTTATTACTTGTTTCAGATTGAATGTGAATTGAGCCTTTGCATCCCAGAAGCAACAATATCAATTCGTTTGTGGAGAATAGTTCAAAAGAGAAGTGATTCTTCACTCTTTACAGTTGTTAATCAATTCATTGAAGGAAAGCAATACACAAAATAGTGAACCCTAGTAAGCCACAAAATGATCAATGAAAGCGGATAATATTATTCTCAGGTAATGAATGACTATTGAGATGGCATCTAGTATAGAATGATTGATATTTGTAGGCTCTTGAAACTATTTCACAAAGTCATAAAATGAAGACAAAGGTTAAAATGGGTGATTTTTACGTCTACTCTTCCAGCTTATCATCATTTCAAATGCCATCGTGAACATTTAGATGACAAAGTCTATTTCTGCTATTAATTTCACTTTACTTTCATTGGAGAGCAAAATGTGCAATAAAAGCACAGTGGAGAAGGACAGCACAGAAGAGTGGTATGCCCAAGAACCTGGAAAGTGTCGGCTGCTGCGGCCAAGTGATAGCCTAGTCCCAAGTGAAATGAAATGAATGGAGCCGAATAGCACAGCAAACCTTAGCAGTAACCTTAATCTATCCGATACCCTCTCTTACCAGCTCGTTTTTATTCATTCACTTTTCCACTCTTCTGCTTTGCAAACACATAAATGTCACAAACACATCGACTGATTCGGAGTGTCAATGTCAATGCATAGACGATGCAGATGCCGTAGAGTTATAATAGATGTTTTTTGGAGAAAGAGGTGGGTAGTGCCGCGACACTGAGAAGACAACATGGCGTAGCGTTCTTAACTCTTGTTTACTTGTTTACCAATCGATGTTTATAAGCTTCCACTCACTCCCTCCCTCCAATCATCACTCTCTTTGTATTGTCATCCTGCGCCAGTTCATTTGCACATTTTTTATCAATACGTTCTTATAGAATCTTCAAAATTTTCATTCTTTGGAATTTGAATTATGGAATTTTGATATCTGTTACTTGCAGAGATTGTGAAAGCTCTTCTGGCTATCTCCCCAAATATTGGTAAAAAATTGAGTGAAAGCAAAGATAATGTTAAAGATGGAAAATAAGGAACATGATTATATTCTTGAATTATCATTTAACTTCATCCTTAGATTGAGATCAAGATCGAGAATTATATATGGCGGGATTGGATATTGTACATCAGCGACTGTTGGACGAATGGCGACAAGAATCGAGACGAGACCTTTCTCAGCTGGAAATGGTGCTGAAGAGTGCTGAAGTATGATGTTTTGCACAGTGTGATAGTGAAAGAAAATGGTACTTTAAAGCGAGGGATATTCTCTCGAATATAGCAAATTAAAAAATCATCACAAGTGATAAATGATAATGTCTACATAGATGGAAGTTGAATGCAAGAAGCTGATGGCAGAGTGGAATAAGGAACCGAAAAATCTAGGAGCTATTGGAGTCAGACTAAAACGGATAAAGGTGTGTTCGTATATTATATCTTCCACAAACACTTATTCAAAATCTAACATGAGCGACTCGACCACAGAAAGTGTGTAGTTTATCCTACAGTCATCCTCACATTATAATATTCGCTACTTGAAATAAGTCAATCTATTATACCTAGCTTAGTGATAGTTATTAAAACTTGTTCGTTAACAACTTCACACATCTGCAGCTACAGTTAGATCACACAGGTCCTACTCAAAACTCGGTGAGCTTCGCAAGATGTCGTTAATTGTTTTTCAGGAATTAATGAACAACAGGAACGCTTTACGTGGTCTTACCCATAATGATTTACTTATGATTCATCGTAAGTCTTATTTTGGCACCACTAAAATTGGTGAAATGCAAATCCACCTCTCAGATTTAGGCCTAAATACGTTTCATAACCTTTCAGTTTAATCTTTCATTTTTTTCTCAAATTGGATTGCAGGAGATGTTTTCGAAATAGATGCACTGTGTGCAGTACTCAGGTCTGATCTCGACTCATTCCGTGAAGCCATCACTGTTCTCATCAATTTTTACAATTCTTATGGGTAAATACAAAGATCTGTTAAAAACTAGCTGGGTTATTGCTTTATTATTTCAATATCGATTGGATATTTAAATTTTAGTTCAAACGAAGAGTGGCCAAATAAATGGTTGATGATCGGCTTAGATCTTATGTTCCTTTTGGCTACCAATCAACACATTGAATTCCACATGGTATTTTGATATTAGTGGCTGAAAGAAATAAGAAAAATTGTGATAATTTTCCAATAACATGTATCCTCTGAAAATTACAAAAACTTCATCACGAAAATTTTGTGGAAATTGAACTACATATTCAGCAGGTTGATCTATTTCTATAGTAGATTAACTTCAAATGAAATGTTACAGTTATTGGAGCAGATTGATCAAGAGATCCAGCAAAAAAATCCGTATATTAAGATACCTATGAAACTGGAGCAATCGCTTACTGAAGGTGCTTATCATAAGGTATCCATTTTCTTTAATGATATTTGTGAGTAAACCAGAATGAGGAAGATTAAGACAGTGACCATAGTTATAATGATTTTGCTAAGTGGAACTCCATTATCCTACTATGTTTGACCTTTCTTTCGACTATTCCAGTTAATTTTCGAAAACTTCGTCCTAAATCATTGCAGATAGTGCTAACGGAAAAGAATATTCCCAGCCCCTACTACGCATTATTTATACGTATATCAATGGACACAGTACGGTGAGTTCCTCTTACTCGAAAGAATTCAAAAACTTAACCAAATAGAAGCAATTATAGGGATGAAATAGCTCTATGTATGGAGCACTCATTTATAAAAATATCGCAACGAGATGCTGCACGATTACTTTTGTTTAATGATGTCAATGAAGCGATATCTTTTGCCGAAAAGGTTTTTTTTTTTTTCTCCGACAGCTGTGCTTGAAATTTCATTATTCGAGAAGCTTCAGCATTACAGAAAATATATAAATACTTTTATTAATTCACTCTATCTACGCTTACAATATTGATTTGAAATAATTTTTCAAAATTGTGAAAAACTCCCCATCATATTCTGTGAAATAAGTAATGAAATACATAAGTCATATTCCGTATAACGAAATAGAGAGAACCTCATGACGGTCAAATGTTCTACCCCTTTAAACCTGTGAACAAGTCTTCCTTAGACTAGAGTGAATGAGAAGTGAGTCACTTTATTACATATTTAATAAAATGTATTAATGAGAAAAATAGGAATACATCTTATTAATAGGTCTGCAAAGCGGGCAAAACAATTTCTGAAATACGTCAGTTGTAAATATAATGTAACATTGAATACAGAGATTCTCTTGTCACCAACAAGTACGATACATTTTCTTTATAATCACAAGTTTACTCTAAGATTGGATCTTTTTATAAATATCATTCAAATTTATATAAATATCATTCAAATATTCTCCCGTCTTAAAAAAAATGACCTTATCAGCCTCATTTGATGATCAGACAATAATAACTGGCCGTCAATCAATAACACAAATACCATTGTCTGTTGTGTTTTAGTATAAATCAAACACTTATTACACTGTAAACTTATTACAGTCATTAAAAAGTCTGTCCAATTTATAATCACTGTATTCAATATCCAACCTAAATAAACATAACAGAAAACACTTTTATTTGAGGATATAGTAGAGGATATATTCTCGACATTGCTCATATTCTTTCTGATTATTATTCATTAAAGAAATTTCTTCGCTACTTCCTAGAATATTTAATCTCTAACAACTTCTGGAGATTTCATTATAGCGTGGCTGGAGAAGCAGTATATGTGATAGCAGTGTTACGTACGTATTTGATCACGCACAAGTCGTAAGTTGTATCTTATTTTTGTGCATTTTGCAAAGCTTGGCCAGCCCTACAATGCACGTGATTTTAGCATGTGGAGCCACGGTTAGATACTAAAAGGATCGCCATGCAAACTATTTTTTATGCAAAGCAACTCGAAATGATCGTATAAGACATTAGTCGAGCAGATCCTTTATCTGATTACTTTCGCATTAAACGAATTCTCCGACTTTATCAGTTCTTATCGCTTATTTTGTGTGCATTGTAAACTAAATATTCCCTGGAAATTGCAGTCAGTTATATGAAATAATTCGAATTATATATGCCCATAAAACTGTTATAAATATTAATTATTGAAATACCGCAAATACCAGAACCAGATCTGAGTCTAACATTTCAGTTTTAAGCCACCATACAGTGGAAATAGAAGCAATATTGTCTACAACTTGTGAAGTCTACAGATGGAAGTCACAACTTAATAAATTCGCAACGTAAATGACGACAAACTAATAAATAATGGGGCACGGTCATAGCTTTCGTACAAATTTACTCTGAAGGATTTTTATATCGATCTTTGTATTACAAATATAGTTAATAAATAGAGACATAACATAGAAATGGCAAAATATTTTACCTAAATTCGACCAGCAAATCTCTAATTCAAAATCTCAATTTTGGCTTTTTTTGAGGTGATTCACGTATTGTTTGGATTTCCGTAAATTCGTCCTGATTTACATCACTCACTGCCTCATAAGCCGAAGTGGGAGGTGGTGTTGAAGGAAGGAAATAAACATTATTTTTGTCAATATCGCCACAGCCATCAATGCCAGTGTTTACACTTTTTTCACTTCTATCATTACTATAAATACTGCCAATGTTTTTCAACACCAGATCTTCCGCAGCAATCGTTTCATACAGTCTTTGCACAACAGGTTTCCCAAAGAGATCACCGAAGCTGCTGCCAGATACAGGAGCTAAATAAATCTCCCTTACTTTTATGAAACCTGACTTTAAAAGTGAAGTTGGGAAAAAAAGCAGTGAGAATAAATTAGAACCAACCCTCAACTGAACTCAAATCACATTCATCAACAATAATGGATAAAATATTTAGTAGCGGTCGAGTTATGTGTGAAAAAACCTGAAATTTGGAATGTAAATGTAAATGTAAAGATAAGTTGAGATGTCAGAAAAGTCTTTTCTTTAATATTTAGATGATAAGATCTTCCGAATAAGCGGTTTTTTAAAGTCATTTGGCTACAAAAATATCTATTCAATGTAATTGGAATCCCATAATCCAATCTTATGGTGAAAGAAGTTTGATTAATAAAGATTTTTCAAAATTTCTCATTTGCTATAGAGACCAAAAAATAGCACTGGGAGATCTAACATATATCTTACAAAACAGCAAAAGTTACATAATTCATCGAACCCAAATGTTGTCCGAAAAAATGCCACTTCAGAGTTCGTTTCCCAGCAACAACTTCAAGATCAAATTCCAGTGTTTCATCATTCTTATTTTCATTTGACATCTTTGTTGTCAACGACACGAACATACTGCGAACTTTTTCGAACAAAGCCTTTTCTGAGCCACCTAATCTGGCATTCAGCGACGAAAATTTCTTCATGAAATCAGCAATTTCGTAGAATATGCACTCGTAATCAGTTAATATTGTGTGCAACCGTCCGGCCTTAAATGACAAATCAAGACAATTATTTCATCTTAAAAAACTAAGCAGTGAAAAAGAATAATTCATTTCAAACTAGTTTTTTGTTTCTAAAACTATAAAAACTTGTTTGTTGCACAGACTACACCTAGTTCGTTCAAACTGTATCAGACTTTTCTTGAATGAAATCTCACAAGCATAAGTCCCACAAGCTATCCCTCTTTATTAACCTGTAAAATTCTTCTTTCACATTTATTACCTATTAATTTCATGGTATTGAACCATTAGAACCTAAGCAAATAATTAAATTAAATAAAGTAAGTGGTTAAATAAGTTACGTATTCTTTTGTATTGGAAAATATAACAGATATCGAGGCATCTCTATCTCCCGAACTGCTGATGATAAAAGTAGGAATGAATACTTGCCATGAATGAGTAAAGAAGTATATCGTTAATAAAATTAAAATCAAAAACTACCTTGATAAGAAATTTAGCAGCACAATGCCTATTACCCAATCTGAAGCCTACAGGTGCCCAACAAGTTTTAAGAAACTCTGCATCCACATCTGCTTCTATCAGATTTCTGTTCACTTCTGAATGTAAAATACCCAACTCCTCACAATTCGCCATTAGTCTCGAAGCTGGATCGCGAAGCCGAAGCCATCCTGTGTAGTTCCTGTATTTCACAATCAAAAAGTTAAAATCATTCAACATTATCTATTCCTTGAATACAAAAGAGTACACAAACCCCAAACGATAACACCACAAATTAATCTGTTTATAACATTTTTTTTGCCACACTGAGTTTCCCATTATTAAAATTGTATAAAATCTGTTTTTAATTTTTAATTGTAAAAAATCTCAAAAAAACAGCAATAGAAGCTGTATAGCAAACAAAAAAGAAAGTAAATGTTTCCCACTGTCATTCCATTCATTTTATTTGAAAGCAACAATTTAATAGAAAGAATTATTCAGTTTAACACAGCAAAGATAAATGAGAACATCGCAAATGTTCATTTTGCTGTATCGCATTCTCTTTTGTTTAAATGCGGTAAGCACAGACAGTTTTGGTAGTGATTAGCACATTAATGTGACAATTGATTTGTTATTGTCATGAAAAGGGACAACATTTGAATTATTCTTTGTGAGCCAGATACAACATTAGTCATTTAAATAACGAGACTTATCACTGCATGAAATGTAAGAACAATGTTACATGTTGATTTATAATAGTTCCTTTAGCTTTTCTTTCTTTTCAAATCTTGTCACGGAAAGAAGTTTAAATTAGATGTAACAATTACGATTAAGAGAATGTTATGCATTCTATCATAAACAGAAAATCTTCTATTAATAATGACCAGTGACAACAATTATACTGCAACATAAAATATGAAATGTAAGAAACCGGTATAACACGTAAGTTATACAGCAATAACCTACTACGAAAAAATCTTGATAGAAAAGAACACCTTAAAAACAAGAACATAAACCATTTTAGAAATAAAAAAGAGCAAAGAACTGAACTGCTTAAAAACTTTGATAATGATATCCAGTACAGGAAATGATTCAGTGATTTAATCAAAATTAACTATTCACTCACCTTAATAAATATGATCTCAGTAAATATGCATTTCCACAGAGATGCTGAAACACTTCTTCAGCTCACAGCGATGAGAAGATATTCTATCATTAGATCCCGTTAAAATAATGAGACTTTAAAATATCAAAAATATCTTCCACGCTTTTTCTACACTTTCCATTATAGTAAGATGAAAAAACTTAAAATTTGCTGATTCCTGATTAAAATTTCTAAACCTATAATAAATAAACAACCACAGAACAAATCACCAACAAAATTAGAAATGACAAAGCATAAATGTGAAAAGCGTTTAATTCACACCTTTACATAATAATACAATTCTGATAAGATTAAACTGAGATTGTTTTTAGGCTCACTGCTATTTGTAATAACTTCTTTTTTGAAATTACAATGTCCGAAACTCTCAAACATTTCTGATAAACTCGAAATTTTATCCAGAGGAACAGAAATATAATATCCAGAGAATACAGGTCAAAAACATTATATCTAATGTAAATCTGACAGTTTCTAAAGAAGAAATTATCAGGTACCCGTTAATCGCATTTTTATTCCTTCCAAATAAGCAGTCAAATACTGCTAAAATTGATAACACGGCGTATGAGATCACAGATACCATTTAAGAAATCAGTTCAATGTATAAAACAAATTTCTCCTTGTGATAACATACTGTGTCTTCTACAAAACTCCATTTAAATTTTAAAACGAATAAAACAATACAGTGGTGTTGAAGCACGGAAATTAAAACATGAGAAGCATAAAGTGATGTTAAGAGACATAAATCTATGGCAAAGAAAACCTCTTTAAACCCAAATTCAACAACATAACTCTTTATGTTTAAATTATAAGTTGATTTATGAAAATTCTCCTATATCATGTTGGCATCAGCAGAAGTGGTTTACTGTTCACAAAACTCCTTTTGTACATTTCTAAAATTAAGGACTAAAATACTAACGACTTCAAAGCGAATAAATAATGCAAGTAAAAGTTATTTCTTTGAGAAAATATGGGTTTGATGACATCATCTTGAATTTCTACGGCATCATGCCGCGTACAGGTCCGTTTATTCTGGCCTAAAAATAATGAAGTCATCAGAATAAACTTAAAAATTCAGAATCAGGCTATATGAGCCATTCATTTCTCAATCTCAACAGCTCCTTAATTGACTATTTCTATACCATATCAAACCATTCCGTACATGTAGTAAAACGCTATTTGTAGATGTTCATGTTCCTACTAGCAATGAAAGAAGATAGTTAGAAGTTGTAAACAAAACAAAAAGCTTGATTTTTCTACGACTAATATGAATATAAAAATTGAATTCTAAATATACCAAACGGTTGTTCTCATTAGACAGAAAGCAACAAAAAAGATAATTTAGCAAATGTGATTTCAAAAATGCGTTTTTCAACTTACCTCTTCTAATTCTTTTTGGGCTTTATCCTCGATTTCACGAATATCGGCCATGGTTAAACCGTACCAGTTATCCATCCAGCAAAATACTTCACGGTGGAATTTCGTAAATAGACGTGGGTACTGCTTAAAACATTTACGAAATGTTCAACCAAAAATTGAGCACTGACAAGAAAAGACATCACACCTATTAGAATGCCAAGAATCCCGCTTGCAACTGAGTATCAAAACTTAAAGATATTTCAAAGCGATCTACAAATGAACACAAAACTTACACGATGTGCGTAATTTTCTACTATTTTCGTTAAACCGAACCATTTAAAGTGCACTTTTACCAATTTATAAGCGCACATCACCGGTTCCATTGTTTCTTTCCAATTTCCTACTAGAGGACCACGCCCGGTTTTCAGGCTTTTGAATCTTGATGGTGTTGTTTCCGGTTTGATATCCTGTAAGTCACTGAACTCAAGCTTATTATGTATTTCAATACAAAAATTTTACGATACAAAAACCAAGGAGCACAAAATCAGGGCGTCTAATAGTAGGCTTAGGAAAGATCTACGAATACGCTATGGAAGGGAAAGAAAAAATCGATTTTTACTGCGTTTCGGACAAAAGTAACATAGATGGATCGAATGAGTATAAACTGATTAATTAGTGCAGTAGAACTAAAAAATGCACTAATTCTAGCTTTTTATTCTAGGATGAATGACGAGTATATTAAAGTAACATTATACACAAATTAGGAAACAAATAATTTGTACAAATTACATTAGTAGTCAAATATGAAGTGTCATTAGCAATGTCGAGATCAATCACTTCACGCTTAGCAAGATCTTCTGCACTTAAGTTATGCGCATTCTGTGTGGTTCCCCGATCCGGTAAATGGATTGTTTCGATATGGATGAAAAAATCATCTCTCATATAATCAGGGTTCTGCAACATCATATTTCATGATTTCTGAAAATGCAGGTTATTAAATCAACCGATCAAAAGTGAACTACGAAACAGAATCGGAATCCTAAATAAACTTATAACTTTGAATAAGAAGCACAAAATTCCTCTACTCTTACTTTCTCGAAAATGACACGAGCAGAAGATGAATTGTAAAATAAAACTTAATACACAACAAACATCGTACTACCAAACCGAATATTTGTATTGCTACATAAAAAACTCCTATTTTTCAAAGCAATACATTGTAAAGCAAAAAATTATTCGTGGCAATTGTAACTCCATCTATTACTACCAGGAGAAAATTGTGCTTGCAAGGATGATTTGGAATAGCAAACATGACTATGCTTTCTGAAAAACACTAAACTATGTTAACCAACCGTGAGAACTGTTTTACAGTAAGGATAAGCATTCCATGCTTCTTCGTGTATCGCTAAAGAACCTTTAGGTGCACATGTTCGTACTATCGTCGGCACCTTTCTAAAAATTGTTGTATGCATTGTATAATGCGGATTCTATGGAATAAATAGAATAATTAAATGATATAAGATTTTTTTTAACTTTGTATGATAATGCTGAAAATTTTAAACCCAATAAAACTATATGTAGGTATATGTATCCTGTAGTGTAAGACATGAAAATTTTCATCATATTACAGTAAGTATGCGCTAAGTGCTGCCTAAATCTGAATGCCATTTATTTAGCCAAAAAAAGCTCACGTTTGCAAATGATATATTTTGTGCGTATATTGACCACATGAATAACGCCCGTCAAGCAAAGGATAATTCTTGAATGGTTCATTCTTTAAAACTTCGACACCTTCACCACCACCTGTTTCAGCTTTTGATGCTTCGGCAACGGACCAAAGTTGACCAACTTGGTACTCTTCGACCGTCATCGGTAGAACTAATCGACTAGAGAAGTAAGGAAAACTTTTTCTGTGCACTTTTGTTAAACGTTTCTTTCAAAATAATATTTGTTTTTCCGATAATTTAGCTGTTCAAGTGCAAAAGATTCATTTCATATGAGAAATCACTTTGAAATTACTCTATTCTATTATCCCATTATATTGATCATAACTGAAATTGCTGATGAAATACTATAAAAAAATAAGTAAAAGTTGAACAACTGAAATTATGCTTACTATTCTTTCACAATCATGTCGTCACTACTTCCACCACAACAACCTTCTCTACTAAACCAACGCTGAAATGTTTGATAAAATAGCAAATGGTTATTGAGTAATGAATCACAACTAGACATCACAGCGCCTCAGTGCCTCTTATACTGAAGTAATACAGCAAATGCCAATTCCTTCTGTACGAAATAAATTCGAAATATAAATACATATATTTATTCTGCTTATCCTCTTAACTGTAAAATTTTCAGTGGACAAAAGATAAAACCCCTTACGATCCAAGCTTTCAATCCAAAACGGTCATCTTATCGATCTAATTCCCTCTTACAGATGACCAGCAGCTCCATGTGCGATCTCTATGCAAAAGAGCAACAATTCAAAGAAGTATATACAACATTCCTAAGTGTTGGTTTCATTTAATTTACGAAAAAAGCTTGTGTTTGACGCAAACTGTGATAAATATGACAAATATTGCCCTTTCCATTGACCTTAAAACAACTCTGATGGAAGAGAGATGAATCGATGAGATGACAGAGTAACGAGAAAAGATTAATCAACCGCAACAAACCGCAGGTGACACAGTTTCTCGAGGAAAAAACAAAGGCAATAGGAGTATCTTTCCTTTTAAAAGATGCTAAAATTATATAATGTCATAAATGCGGACAAGCGGAGATACAGGAACAAGGCAAAACAGATCGAAGAATAAAATCCATCCAAGGTGAAAGGAAATAACAGCAGCGGAAAACATGAATAATGCATGACATACTGATTAAGAAAGTGTAACATTGATACTAATGCTGAAATAACCCAGTTAGTGGGTAAATGGAGAGTGTGAAGTAACTGAGGATTTACAAGTATGACATGTCAACCCAAACACATAGTAATGAGTCGCATTCATCTACGGAAAAGAACAAGTACGTTGACTCGCTTCATCTGAAGTTTGCGAGAGGCGGCAATTTGAACTTATCAAATGTTTGCTCAAAAGATGATGGCTTGATCGATCATGGCCTACCTTACTTATCCCTCCCGAATATCTTCCAGTAGATATTTATATATATAATTTATATTTGGAGATATTACTGTTATTTCATTAGAACAAAATAATTCGGTTTGTGCAGATAATTCGAATTTGCATAAATGCAATTTTAAATAGGTACAGAGAAAGAATGCTAATTTGTATTCATTTGATGTTTGAAAGTCTTTAAATAGCGCATTTTAGGCAGTAGCTTTCATTTCATACTTAGTCACTTTCTCTCATTGCTGGTCACTCTAAAATGGAATACTAACTGGAAAAAGGGAACATTGTTGGAATTTACTGAAGACCGAAGGATTAAAAGGATAGCTCTGAGTAACAAATGCCGTACCGACGTTCGCGATCACGTTCACGAGGGCGAAGAAGTCGTTCACGTACTTTACGGAGTGCTACATCCCTTTCATTATTACCTGTAAGGCGTCGACGACGGCTAGGCTCACGTTCACGTTCACGACCACGATCAGTAGTGGGTTTTGATTTGCTGAGGCTATTATCGAACAGAAGGCGCAGACCAAGGTATAGATCTAGATCACGTCGGAGCTCATATAGGTCGAGATCACGCCGTAACATTCGACGTCGTCGCCGTCGTCGTTTAAGCTCTCGCAGCCCCCGTCGTCGTTCTTTGTCTCGCCGCCGTTCACGGTCTCGTCGTCGCACTCTCTCTCGACGTCGTCGCTCTCGTCCTCGCTCGGGTGTACGGATATATCGTTATCGGTAGAAATAATATTTCCAGTTTTATTGATTATTGAGGTTATAAAAATATAATAATTCTTAAAACGTTAAATGAGTGATAGGCTACGACATTTTTAAAAAGCAATTCGGTCACTTGTTTTGCAGGATCCGTCGACGACTACGATGAAAAGCGACGATGTTTCAACAGAATTGTCACTAAAAGAATAAAACTGAAAATGCCTGGCGGTCAAACCAACTTAGTCAAAATTAACAGAAATGAAGTGATATGAAGTCTTATTTAAAATGTAAAATCGATTGTATATACTGCACACCAATTACTGAATTACTGAGCAGCAAAGCAAGTAAAAACTAACACGATGAATAAATGAATTTTTCTCCGATTTTTGGGGGATTTTCATTCAAAGTTAATAAAAATGCCCATATAAGTGTATGTGGTGATCTTCAAGTATTCACTGAAGAATAACTGATTCCTGAATGCTTTCAAATTATCCATAATCCTGAAATTCCCACCTAAACATTTGGTGGTTTTTGCAGTGATAAACATAAATAAACAAAACAAATTTTATTTTGCTGCTGACTTAATAGAAATTCAATTTCAGCTAACCTCTTACTCCATATATTTAAAACAATATATTACCCACGCCACATATCGTTAGCCCAATTGAACATATAACTTATTCATATTAGTGAATTAGAGCAATTTTATATGGCTAATTTTCTTTACATGGTTATTAATCAATTTCACATAGTTATTTGCTTTCCCTCACGCGCCAATTCTTTTTTTCCAAAAGGGATGATTGCAAAGCTATCAGTGAAAAATTATAACTTGGATGTCACCTTCCTATGTTTACGTAAAAGGACCCAGCAACAACTTTCTAGAAATGACAATGATATCCATATTGTTGGTGAAAATTTTTGGAAGAAGCTCTCACAGCATAGCCTGATGCCTTACCGATCTCTGAAAATCAATCGTCAGCTGGTAAATTTGCAAAATTTGGCATACATCTCTTTCTTCAAGCTATTATGGAGGAAAATTATCGGTTATCATGTAATAAGCAATTCTTAATTGTGACCCATAATTTGTAGTATATCTGACCAGAGATTTCTAAAGTTTTTGTATTGAGGAAACCGGCTGCTATGTTAACATATTTCGAGAAGTTGCAAAATCAGGAAGTGAACTTTTCGTATTCTCACGATTTATTTTATATGCAAAATATTTAGAAAAAAACACTAATAACATCTGTCTTATACAATTAACATTTAGCATACATCTCTTAACCAATGTGAATTTTTTTTCCGAAATATTTCTAGTAAATTTTTTTATTTTGTATGCACGTATAAGAGAGATGACAGATTAGGAAAAAACACTGATAAAATCTATCTTATACAATTAACATTTAGCATATATCTCTTAACCAATGTGAATTTTTTTCGAAATAATTCTAGTAAATTTCTTCATTTTGTATGCATTTCAAATGCTGAAAGTTGTGCAAAAAACTGTGATTATACAATGAGGATTTGCTTACATAAGATAAATGTTACTATTATATTCTCATATTTTCAAAAGAAAAAAAAAAAAACTGAAAATAAATAATTGAACATACTTCCGCTGAATCAACTTTATCTGCATATTTCCATGTTTTTTCCTATTGTAGTCACGTAGAAATTGATACTATACTTGCATAAAATATCACTGGAAAAAAAATGAATTTGTTACTAATAATAACAATATGCATCAAACAGTATTCATTTCTTTGATAATTATAATCAAAAACATATCGTAAGATGAATGTCAATCAGTTCATTATTTCAGCGATTTCACCGAAATCTATTTTACTAATAGTAAATGAAGAAATAAAATAAAAACTTCCTTAATAAGGATCATTTATTGAACACATAAAAATAACAACTTATATTCGTTACAAAGCATAAAAATATACTCTCAGTTGATCATTTGGCTATTTTCAGTTAATCATTTGGCTTGAAATCTTATTGAAGATTTAAAAATTCTCCTCAGATATATTATATACAATGTGTAAATGTGGGATGAAATTTTACGTCATTTCAAATTCTACTATTTGTCAAACAATAGTAAACAAATGTCGCATTGAAACAGACACAATATGATGTTTGTACTAGAATATTTCCGGAACAATTAATCGCAATGCATTCAATTTGTGAGGATTAATTCATGGATTATTTTATGTGCATTTGCATATTTTATTGATGACTAATATCATTTATACGAACCAGAAGAGAGTTCTTTTGGGTAGATAGTTTATCATGGCCATGACAAATATGACTAACTGGTTGAAATATTGGCTCTAAATTATGAGATTTGTTTGTCACTTCATCGTGCTTGAATTTCTATCCAGTGTTGTGATTACTTTTCTACTGTTGTTACACATATCATATATAACACTTAATGTTGCCCACTAACCCACGTGGGTCTCACGAATTACACTTCACGTAATCATCGATTCCGTCCAGCACCTGTTTATTTCGTCGAAATTTGTTCCTATTCTAGACTGATCGATATTTGTGTGGTTGTGTTCTTCTACCTGCAAAGCGGGAAGTAAGTCATTGAAGGTTCGGGATTTTTGATCTGATCAGTTTCTGATATCGGTCACTGTTTGCTTCCAGTATCGCAAACATGCTCCCCTGGAGAACGGTGAGCTGAATTTTCCGCTCCCCTCTCCTCCTCCCCTCCCTCCCCCTCTCCTCTCCTCTCCCACTTCTCCCTCCTTCCTCTTTCTCCCCTCCCTCCTCGCTCCTCTTCTCCTGCCCTCCCTACCCCCTCCCTCTTCTCCTCTCCTCCTCTCTCCCTCTTTCTCCCTCCTCTTCTTCCTCTTCCCCTCTCCCTCCTCTCTTCTCTCTCTCCTGCACTCTCTACCTCTCCCCCTCCCTCTTCTCCCTTCTCCTCTCTCTCCTGTCCCCTCTACCTCTCTCTCTCTCCCTCTTCGCCCCTCTTCTCTCCTGTCTCTCCATCTCTCCTCTTTCCTTCTTTCTCCCTCCTCTTCTCTAACTCCCTCCTTCCTCTTCCCTCCTCTCCTCCCTCCCCCTTCTCCTCTCTCCTGTCCTCTCCATCTCTCCTCTTTCCTTCTTTCTCCCTCCTCTTCTCTAACTCCCTCCTTCCTCTTCCCCTCCTCTCCTCCCTCCCCTTCTCCTCTTTCTCCTGTCTTCTCTCACTCCCTTCTCTTCCTCTTCCCCTCTCCCTCCTCTCTCCTCTCTCTCCTGCCCTCTCTACCTTTCCCCCTCCCTCTTCTCTCCCTTCTCTCCTGTCCTCTCCATCTCTCCTATTTCCTTCTTTCTCCCTCCTCTTCTCTAACTCCCTCCTTCCTCCTCCCCTCCCTATTCCCCTTTCTCTCTCCTCTTCCCTCTCCTCCCTCTCCTGCCCTCTCTACCTCTCCTGTCTCTCCATCTCTCCTCTTTCCTTCTTTCTCCCTCCTCTTCTCTAACTCCCTCCTTCCTCTTCCCCTCCTCTCCTCCCTCCCCTTCTCCTCTTTCTCCTGTCTTCTTTCACTCCCTGCCCTTCCTCTTCCCTTCCTCTCCCCTCTTCCCTCTCCTGCCCTCTCTACCTCTCCTCTTCCCTCTTCTCCCCCTCTTCTCCTCTCCTCTCCTCTCCATCTCTGCTCTCTCCTCTCTCCTCCCTCACCTTCTCCTCTCTCTCCTGTTCTCTCCATATCTCCCCTTTCCCTCTTTCCCCCTCCTCTTCTTTCACTCCCTCCCCTTCCTCTCCTCTCTTCCCTCTCCTCCCTCTCCTCCCTCTCCTGCCCTCTCTACCTCTCCTCTTCCCTCTTCTCCCCCTCTTCTCCTCTCCTCTCCATCTCTCCTCTCTCCTGCTTTCTCTCCCTCCTCTTCTCTAACTCCCTCCTTCCTCTTCCCCTCCTCTCCTCCCTCCCCTTCCTCTTTCCTTCCTCTCCTCCTTCTCCTGCCCTCTCTACCTCTCCTCTTCTCTCTTCTCCCCCTCTTCTCCTCTCCTCTCCTCTTCATCTCTGCTCTCTCCTGCTTTCTCTCCCTCCTCCTCTCTAACTCCCTCCTTCCTCCTCCCCTCCTCTCCCCCTCCCTCTTGTCCTCTCCATCTCTCCCTTCTCCTCTTTCTTCCTCCTCTTCTTTCACTCCCTCCCCTTCCTATTCCCCTTTCTCTCTCCTCTTCTCCTCTCTCTCCCGTCCTCTCTATCTCTCCCCTCCCGCCTCTCCCTCCTCTCTCCTCTCTCTCCTCTCTCTCCTGCCCTCTCTACCTCTCCTGTCCTCTCCATCTCTCCTCTCTCCCTCTTTCCCCCTCCTCTTCTTTCACTCCCTCCCCTTCCTCTTCCCTTCCTCTCCCCTCTTCCCTCTCCTCCCTCTCCTGCCCTCTCTACCTCTCCTCTTCCCTCTTCTCCCCCTCTTCTCCTCTCCTCTCCTCTTCATCTCTGCTCTCTCCTGCTTTCTCTCTCTCCTCTTCTCTAGCTCCCTCCTTTCTCTTCCCCTCCTCTCCTCCCTCCCCTTCTTCTCTCTCCCTCTTTCTCCCTCCTCTTCTTTCGCTCCCTCTTCTCCTCCTCTCCCTTTTCTCTCCTGCCCTCTCTACCTTTCCCCTCCTCTCCTCTCTCTCCTGCCCTCTCTACCTCTCCCCCTCCCTCTTCTCCTCCCTGTTCTCTCCATCTCTCCCATCCTCTCCTTTTTTTTGTAATTTTGAGTTGTAATGAATTTTTGCAACTTTATTCTTGAGCTAATAGTTAGTTCTCTTCTCAATGAATCATAAGCAGATGTATTACAATGGTCTTTTCGTTCGATCAACTGTATTGACTTCCTTTCAATCTGATCTTCATGTTTTTGTGCAATTCGTGATCATATAGAATCTCTAGAAAAGACTCTTCAAGGTTATTTATTTCAGAAACAGTGTAGCAAATGGTGATAAAAGACAGCAGAAATCGGGAAATCTGGATCGTTTGGATGCTTTATATCGCCACTGGGAAAGTCTAAGTTTAAATTTTGAAAAACAAGCGGAAAATTTCGAAAAACGGTTGAAAGAGGAAAGAGATCGAATAGATGCCGAAATGCGAAATGCGGCAGTTACGTAAGTATTACTATTTCAAATCATTCATACTGAATGCATATTTATTAATGCTTCGCTGCGATCAGTTACTGAAAATGATTATTATGATTAATTATTTCAATAAATTGAAG